GAGACATGGGCTCTCTATGAGTTCAAAGCCAGCCTGGTCTACATAGTGAGTTCCAGGACAACTGGGGCTACAGGGAGACCCTGTCTCAGAAAGGCCAAAAAAAAAAAAAAAGATATGAATAGCTGGGCTTGGAGAGACTGCTCGGTGGTTAAGAACACTGGCTGTTCTTGCAGAAGACCTGGGTTCGAATCCCAGAACCCACATGGCAGCTAACAACTGTAACTCTAGTTCTAGGGGATCCAATAGCCTCTTCTGTCCTCCGTAGGCATTGTTGCAGGACATGGATGCACTTACCTACATGCAGGCAATACACACATAAAATAAATAAAGTACTTAAAAAAAATAAAGATATGAATATCTTACATGAGGTATATAAAATTTGGAGGCTGGAGAGATGGCTCAGTGGTTAAGAGTACTGGCTTTTCTTGCAAAAGACACTGATTTGGTTCCTATCACCCACATGGCAGCTAACAACCATCTGTAACTCCAGTTATAGGAAATCTGATGCCTTCTGGCCTCCTGGGGCATTGCACACATTGGAGTACTAACATACATGAATATAAATACTTATACACATAAGATAAAAATAAATCAATCAGAAAAAAAGATAAAATTTAGAGCTTATATGCATTCAATAATTATAGTTGTTCAACAATTTAAGATTATTTTTATTTACTCATGGTAATGTTTATAAATACTGACAAGGAGTTGATTACTTGAAACAAAGAAATTGTCCAAGACCTCCCTGCCTCTGGTCATCCCTCCTGCCACCCCTTGAGAATTTCTCTAGTCTCCTTGCTGCCTCACATTTCTTCCTCAAACTAAGCACCACAAACCAGACCTCCTAAGGTCCCTGCTCAAAATTAACTTTCTTTTCTTTTCTTTTTCTTTTCTTTTTTTTTTTTTTTTTTTGAGAGACAAGGTCTCTCTGGAGCCTCAGCTGTCCTAGAACTTGCTATGTAGACCAGGCTGGCCTTGAACTCACAGAGATCTGTCTACCTCTGCCTCCCAAGTGCTGGGATTAAAGGCGTGTGCCACCATGCCTGGCCTACTACTTTCTTTTTTTAAAAAAATCACTATTTTTGGCCGGGCATGGTAGTGCATGCCTTTAATCCCAGCACTTGGGAGGCAGAGACAGGCGGATCTCTGTGAGTTCAAGGCCAGCCTGGTCTACATAGTGAGTTCCAGGACAGCTGGGACTACAAGGAGATCCTGTCTCAAAAAGACAAAAAAAAAATTACTATTTTTATTTTATGTGTATGAGTGTTTCCCTGTATGTACGTGCACCCATGTTGTGCAATACCCACAGAGGTCAGAAGAGGGTGTCAGAGCCCCTTGGAACTGGAGTTATAAATGGTTGTCAGTCACCATATGGGTGCCAGGAATGGAACCTGAATCCTCTACAAGAGAAGTCAGTGCTCTTAATCACTGAGCCATCTCTCCAACCCTTAACTACTTTCTTAACTCTACTGTGAACCTAGTCCTATATGACCCTGTGAATTTTTATGCCCAGGTCCCTCAATAATGCCTCTTTTGTCTTCCAGTTCCTAATGTTTATAGGGACCTCAGTTGGTGATAACTGAGTGTTCTAATGTTTCATAGGAACCAATCCATTGGGGACTGAATTCTCTCATATTGTCTCAGATTATACAGCTTTTGTTTCAAGGAGGGTCGAGTGAGTAGTTAAATTTCTCAGTTTCTTTACTTCAGGCACTCAGACTGATTACATCTACCCCCATGTCCTAGACTCATGAGCCAGGCTGTGAGGGGCTCTTCTGTTTCTTGCTTAAATGTCTTTCCCATCAATTCTTGGCCTTTTGGCTGAGATAAAGTGTTCTATCACTTTAGTATCTGAGAAGTCCTCTATCCAAGATCTATGTATTAAATGGATAGTTGGAGCAAGGAGATGGAAAAGGAACTTGCTCCATCCATTCCATGTTTTCAATCTGGTACTGATATACCTCCCGGAATGATACACCTCTGTGGAGGGCTGAGCAAGAGAAAAAACAAAAAGTCTTTCCCAAGTCAAGCAGTTCAAGTACTTCATAAGTAAAATATTCCCTAATTTTTATAGGTTACTGTCCTAGACCTTTATTAAGGCCCCTACATACTGAGTCATGGGTTTTCTCTTCCTCTCTGTTAAGGTTCAGACCTGGGACTGGAGAGATGGCTCAGCAGTTGAGAGCACATGCTGTTCTTGCAGAGGACCCAGAGTTCAATTCCCAGCACCCACATCTGGCAGTTCACAACAGCCTGTAACTCCAGTTCCAGGGGATTTGATACTTTCTTTTGGCATCCACTGGCACCTGCACATATACACATTGAGGCACACACACAAATACATAAAATAATAAAAAATTTTAAAAACATAAAGTTCAGACCTTAAGGATATTTATTTACTATTTATTTTTTGAGACAGTCTCACTATGTAGACTTGGCTAGCCTAGAACTTGCTATGTACACCAGGCTGGCCTCAAACTCACAGAGATCCACTTGTGTATGCTTCCAAAGTGCTGGAACTAAAGACGTGTCACTACCTTTGGTTTTTATATTTTTATTTTGCATTTTGTTGGTTTTTTTTTGTGGCATTTATTTATTTACTTATTTAATTTTTGAAGGGTTAGAGATCAAACTCAGGGCTTTCTTTGCACATGCTAGACAAGCACTTTACAAATGAGCTACAATCTTAGCTTTGAAAGTGTATTTTACCTTGTTCTTTCTCTCCTAATTGTCCAATTCCTCCCATGAATTCCAAAGTACTGAGTCCTAGTGAGGGCTATTTACCATAGATTAAATTTGTGCTCTAAGGCCAGGTGTGGTGGCATAAACCTTTAAACCCAGCACTTGGGAGGCAGAGGCAGGTGAATCTCTGTGAGTTCAAGGCCAGCCTGGTCTACATAGTGAGTTCCAGGCCAGCTGGGGCTATAGGGAGACCCTGTCTCAAAAAGACCAAAATAAGCTGGGTGTGGTGGTGCACACCTGTAGTCCCAGCACTTGGGAGGCAGAGGCAGGTGGATCTCTGTGAGTTCAAGGCCAGCCTGGTCTACATAGTGAGTTCCAGGACAGCTGGGGCTACAGGGAGACCCTGCTTCAAAAAGAGAGAAAAAAAAAAGACCAAAATAAATAAATAAATTTGTGCTCTATTCCTTGTGCCTACTAGCTGTAAGAAATTGCAAGCCAACATCTCTATCTCATTCTCTCCTTTTTCCATGCCTTTTTTTGTGAGATGGGGTCTTGATATGATAAATAGCCGAGCTACTTCTCACCCCCCACCTCCCAAGTGCTTCAATTACTGGCATGCACCTGATCCTGGTATGCCCCCCCCCTTTCTTGCCAAATCAGAGACTAATGGAGAGGCTAGCATCTGCATGTTTCCCATTGTAATTTCTCCCTTACTCAGGCAAGGTGTTTTATTATTTTTTTCCCCAGGCATTCAGTGCAGACCCAGGTACATGTTTCATTGCTCATAACAAGAGCCATATACAATAGCTGCCGTGGTCGAGTCACGATTTGGTTCCACACATGCTGTTTTCAGAGACTGCAATACATTCTCTATTTAGGGAGCATCCTCATTGCATGACACCATTGATCAAGGAGGCATGTCATTCTACATTTAAAGGTGGATGGCAGGGATGCTCCACTCTCAGGAAGCTCAGCCTGGGTTGCATGTCTCATAAGAGGAAATGCTCCTCCTAGACTCATCTTTGGTTTTGTCAGTCCCTGTTTAGACTCCAAGCTACATACTTTTCCTTGGGGAGTCTAAGTCTATTTCTAGGCACCACAGATAAAGTAATGACAGACCAAAGAAACAATTCCACCCAGGTCCAGCTTGGTGAACCAATGAGTTTAACTGAAGTTACTTACAGGAGCAGTTTTACATCACAAAAAGCCCACCCAACATGGGTAACAATTCATAAAGTCCATATTACTAAAGTCTCCTGTGCACAGTCTCCTCTCCCCTGGCAATTGTTTATCACTTATATAACCTCAGAGAGAGGTCTTTGTGAGTCTTATGAGCTTCTTGTGAATTTCATGAGCCTCCCTATTCCCTCCCAGATAGAATGTTCAAACCAGGAAGAAATAGCTATACAGCAACAAACTGTAAAATTTATCATAAAGGCTGAAGAGGTGGCTCAGCATTTAAGAGCACTTACTGCTCTTCCAGGGGACTCAGGTTTGGTTTCCAACACCCATATGGTGTCTATAACTCTAGCTCCAGAGGATCCTCACCTTCTTCTGGCCTCTGTGGATATCAGGCATACATGTGGTGCACTTACATACATTCATGCAAATAAAACAGACGCTTAAAAATAAATAAAAATCTAAAAAAATTACCATAAATGCAGAAATAAATTAAGCATCAAAGATCCCCACTTACTGGGTGCTCAATAAATGGTTCCCATTAGTTTGCTTGCTTTTAAGACAGGGTCTCATGTAGCCCAGCTAGCCTTGAATTCACTATATAGCTATGGATGATCTTGAGCTTCTGATCCTCTTGCCTTGACCTCCCTCCCAAGTGCTGGGATTGCAAGTGTTATGTGTCTAAGTACAGAGGGCACTTGCTGAGATTTCAGTTCTTGTGTTCTGGAACAAAGAATTGAACCAAGGACAGTGATAGAAATAGAGAAAGTTTATTAAGGAAGAGATGAGCACTCTCAAGAATGAAACTGGGCTAGAGAGCTGGAACAGGACAGAGACTCAAATTAGAAGCCCCCCAATGTCGTGACCTTTTATAGATCAATTTACATAGCACCCTCATACTACCATATTTGGAGACTGGGGAGGGGCAGGGGGAAAAGGGGTGTTCTTGTGCATCTCTGTTTAGTCTTAAGGGTTTCTAGTCTTCCTCTGTCAATTAGCTTCTTTCATATGTTAATACTGATGCCTTTCTTCTGCCACGCTGGTCTGTGTTTGTTTCCTATCATTATTGTTACTGTATCTGGAAAGTGTTTATAAATTAAAAATATGCCTCCTCTGACCTGGTGACTCAGATTTGTTATTCTTCCACTTGAGAGCCTGAGACAGAAGGATTGCAAGTTCAATCCTGGGCAACTCAGTGAGAATTTTGTTTAAAAAACAAAGTGTGTGTGTGTGTGGGGGGGAAGCTGTAGAGATGGCTCAGCGGTTAAGAGCACCGACTGCTCTTGCAGAGGACCGGGGTTTGATTCCCAGCACCCACATGGTGGCTCCGAACCATGCTTAACTCCAGTTCCAGGGGCATCCAATGCCCTTTTCTAACCTCAGCAGCACTGCAAGACACGGGTGCACTCACATGCAGGCAATACACTCATATACATAAAATATTTTGAAGTAAAAATAAAAAACAAAGGAGGGCTGATGCAATGGTTAATCTTGTCATCTTGACCAGAGTTAGAATCACTTAGGTAAACTTCTGAGAGTGTATGTTAGAACATGTCCAGAGCTGTGTATTTGAGGTAAGTATTAAGGTTCAGATAGCCCCGCCCCCTCACCAACAGGGTTTCATGGATTTCTCAAGCTCTTGAGAAAAGGGAACCCAGCTGATAAGCACCTTGGTCTTTGAAGTCAAGAGAAGCAGACTTTTCTCCACTGTTTGGCCAACATAGCAGGCTTCCCCTTTGAGCACTAAAGAGAACAGGTTTTAACAGTCCTGCTGTCCCTCCCAACTTAAAAAAAAAAAAAAATCTTCCTGCCTTTTGCAGGAAGTAGAAGCCTCTCCCTTAAAAAGACCCCAGCTCACCACCCGCGCAGACATTTACCCTGCCCAGAAGGGAATCTGTCCCATGTGTTCCTTTGCTAATAAACTCTGCTTTCTCCTGATCAACCCTATTCATCATACAGCTACTTTTTAACCTATCAGTAAGAACCACCACGAATGTGATTTCCATGGGCTGGTGTCCTAGGACTGAATAAAATGCAGAAACTGAGTAGGACATCTACACACATTTTTCTCTTTCCTGGCTATGGTTGCAATGTGACCAGAGATCCTTCATGCTTCTGTCCAGTATCTATAGTTGCTCCCACACCCGGTCTCTGTGATGAACTGTATCCTCAAATTGTGAACCAAAATAAACCCTTTCTTCCTTAAGAGACTTTTGTAAAATATTTTATCACACTAAAGAGAAAATAATATAGCAGATGATAGAATTCAGAGGTAGAGCACTTGCCAAGCATGGGCGAAGTCCTCGGTTCAACTCCCAGTACCCGAAAGGCGTTCCACAGGCAGAAGCAAACAGATCTGTGTAAATTCAAGACTAGCCTAGTCTACATAGTAAGTTCCGGCCAACCAGGGTTACACAGTGAAGCTTTGTATCAAAAACTCCCAACCAAACCAAACCAAACCAAACTGAAAAACCTGCCCAGGCTGTCCTAGAAATTAAATTTATTTATTCACTCAGGAAAGAAAAAAGGGGAGGCAAAGGGAGAGAAGGGAGAGGAAAACTGAATCTTAGGCCTTTTTTTTTTTTTTTTTTTAAGCTTCTTGTTCAGATTCCTGCAGAGTATCTGTCATTACTGAAGGGGGATGAGACAATCGACGACATGGAACTGAATGAACTACTTCCACAAAATCTAATTCAAGACCCAGGTACCACACACCACTTCCTAGGAGGGCGCCCCGCCCCGCCCCCGGTGAAGGGCGTGTTCGTCCTGAAGTGCACCAGTTGGGTCTTTGCTGCGGCGCTTGCGGATGACGTAGCAGCGCGCGAAGATTCGTGGGATTCTGGAGCTGCTGGACCACTTCACGTGAGTAGAACTCCCACGTGCTACCCCGGGCCCTCTCCCTGGTGCTTCTCCCTTGGTCACCCAGTCAAGCGAGATCCAGGCCGCTTCGGTATCCCATCAGGCCTGATTGGGTCCAGCTGGGCCGCGTGCCAGTCCATTCCTCTGCTGAGTGTGCGCCTGATGGGGGGTTGCACATGTGCCACAGCTTTTCCGTGGAGGTCAAGGGACAACTTTGTGGCGTTCTCTCGACCTTTACGCGGGTTCTAGGCATCACACTCAGGTTGTCAGGCTGTCGTGCCAAGTGCTTCATCCCCTGAGCCATCTCGTCACTCCAAAAACCAGGATCTCTATTCTAGCTTATAGCAAATAGAATGTGGTTGTGCAGAAGTGGAATCAGACAGTTAAAAAATCTAGTGCAGCTGGGTGCGGTGATGCACGCCTGTGAACTCCGGCACTTGTGTGACAGTGGCAAGAGTGTGAGTTCCAGGCCAGATAACAACAAAGAAACCAATACATTGATCACTCCAGGTGAGTGATGGTGGCTTAGACTAGAATGAGGCAGTAATTGTTAAAAGGCTGGAGATTTAGGAGATGTTTAGAAATAGATTTGTTGGTGAACTGGGTTAAGGGAAAGAAAAACGAAAGTTGATTCATATTTAATTGTTTTAGTTCTGGGAATTGAACCCAGGACCCGAGTACCTTACACTGAGCCCAATGCCTTTATTTTCAGCTTGAGCAACCTTTTTGATGATGGTAGCGTTTCTTGAGATAGAGAAATCTAGAAGAACAGCAGATCAGGAAAACAACCAATCACAATTCCTGTTTGGGGATGCCAGCAGTACTGCCTTTACTGCCTGGCCTCCTGTTCCCCTCCCATGTATTCAATAAACTGTTCCTCACAAAAGAAAAGGGGGACGGAGAGAGATATGCCTCCTGTAGCCTGGGCTGGCCTCAAACTTACTATGTAGCTGAGGATAACCTTGAACTCCTGATCATCCTACCTCTACATCTGCCATGTGCTAGGATTACAGGTGTGTGCTATATGCCCAATTTTGTGGGGATCAAACCAACCCAAGGCTTTGTGTAAGCTAAGCAAGCACTCCACTGAGTTATGCACTCAGCCTCTATTGACAGTATTTATGACACACCTGTGTGGAGAGGTCATATAAGCATTTAAATTTACCAGTCTGGGATTTTAGGGAAAGTCATTTTGATAAAGTTATAGAATCCTTTGGAAAATATCAAATTGCCATTTTTGGTTGAAAATAGTTGAATGGTGGCAATTTCATTGATTCTGCTAGGTAATGTTTAAAGCACGGGACAGGATGAAGTACTTAAGAGCGCAAGAGAAAAAAGTAATGACAGAGCCCTGGGCACCAACCATTTAGAGGTTGAACAGAAGAGTAGAAGCCAGCATAGGTGACCAAGAAGGATCAACCAGACGATGAAAGAGGTCCAGGAAAATGTGTCATTGATGCCAAGAGAGGAGAGTGTTTGAAATAGGGAATGAATAAATCACATGCTGCTGAGAGGTCTCATAAGAACTGTTCAGTAGCTGGGCATGGTGGCGCACGCCTTTAATTCCAGCAGAGGCAGGTGGATCTCTGTGAGTTCGAGGCCAGCCTGGACTACATAGTGAGATAGGGAGACCCTGTCTCAAAAAGACCAAAAAAAACCCCCAAAACTGTTTAGTGACCTCTGGATATTTTTAAAGTTGTTCTCTTCCCCCCCCCGCCCCCATTTTGTTGTGTTGAGAATCAAACCCAGCACCTCAGGACCCTAAGCATGCAGTATATATCCTGAGTGCCAAGCATGGGGTATGGAGGTCAGAGGATAACTTTGCTTCTCTCGGGTCATCAGGTTTGGGGGTCAAGTGCCTTTACCCACTGAGCCATCTTGTCTGCCTATGGAATTCAGTTTTGAATGAGTTAAGTTTGAGTCATCCAAGTGTAGATGTGAAGTAGGAAACTTCTTTCCCTCCCTCAGGAAGAGATAGTGTACATCTATGTGGCCTGTGTTGGTCTTAGTTTAGTGAATGGTACAGATTAGAAGACTTGAGCTGTGGTTAGAAGGTAGGTGTCTGTGAGCACAAGGCAGTGAGAACATCCCAGAGTTGGTGATAATCTGATCGTATCTGAATAGAGACATAGGGTAGGTGAGTAAAAACATGGTCCTGCAGAGAACCAAGGGGATCAGAAGTTGGAAAGGCCTTTTTGAGGCTTTGGATTTACCTTGAGCAGGAACAAATTTTGAAAGCAGTGAAGCGAAGGGACTATCATTTTACTTCACCAGTCAAGTCTAGCCCTTCTCATCCTCCAGGTTTATGCCTTAGATGCTGCCAGAACAAAGTACCACAGTATGCGTTGCTTATTAACAATAGAACTTCTCATAGTTCTGGAGGCTAGATGGCTGATATCAGGGTGCCAGCATGTTCATGTTCTGGTAGAAACATTTTTGGGTGTCACACTACTGACCTTGTATCTTCATGTAGTAGAAAGAAATCTAGCTATCATGCCTCTTAAAAGGCACCAGTCTCATTCATGAGGGCTTCACCCGCATAACCTAATTCCTCCCAAAGATACCTATCCAAATATTATTATTTTGAGAATTAGGGTTTCAAAATATGAATGTAGGCAGAGGATAAAAACATTCAGTCTGCAGGGTGTGGTGGTACATACCTTTAGACCCAGCACTGTGGAGGCAGTTAGGCAGACCTCTGTGAGTTCGAAGTCAACCTGGCCTACATAGTGAGTTCCAGGACATCTGGGGTTACAGGGAGACCCTGTCTCAAACAACCGCCCCTCCCCAAAAAAAAGGTGAGTCCATGGCAGGCACCATTTAGCTCAGAAAATCCTGCAGAAGTATTGACTTAGTAGCCCTAGTCCCTTGGCCTTAGCCCTACTGGGTCAAGAATATCTGATTTGTTTGTAGTGGTATTCCTACCTTACCTGGAGCCCAAGGATGTATCTGTACATCTGTTTTAGTTTCCTTTCTGTTGCTGTGATAAACACCCTGACCAAAAGCAACTTGGGGAGGAAAGGGTTTATTTGGCTTGTATGACTTCCAGGTCATAATCCATCATTGAGGGCAGTCAGGACAAGAACTCATGCAGGAGCAGAGGCAGGAACCGTGGAGGAACATGCTTACTGGTTTGCTTCCTCTGGCTTGCTCAGCTACCTTTCTTATATAGCCCAGGCCCACCTGCCTAGGTACAGTATTGCTCAGTGGGCTGGGCCTTCCTATATCAATTAGCAGTTAAGAAAATACCTTACAGACATAGCCACAGACAATCTGATCAAGAAAACTTTTCAGTTGAGGATCCCTCTTAAGTAACTTTAGGCTTGTGTTAAGTTGACAACTGAAGCTAACTATGACACTATTGCTCTCCCACATTACCAGTGCTTACTATGCATGTGTTTGCATGTGTGCATGTGCTGGAGGTTGAACCCAGGGCTAAGCACATGCTGTACCACTGAGCCATACCCCCCCCAAACACCTGTAAGGCCTATGTTTTGTAGGATTAGTTAAAATATCCCCCTTGGTTACCTTTTCCTGGTTACTTTATTTTCCTGAATATCCCTATAATTTTCCCCTACTCTGTCCCCAATATCTGGGATATCTTTAAAACTTGAAATAAGTTAAATTTTTTTTTTTTTTTTTTTTTTTTTAAGGAACCTAACTCGGCTCTCCAGAAGGACACCTTCAGAGATGGCCCCAGTCCTGCACTTTTATGTCCGTCCCTCTGGCCATAAGGGGGCTGCCTCTGGACATATTCTTCAGAAACTGCAAGGGAAACTGCCAAAACTTCAGACTGTGGAGACTGAGCTGTGCTACAACGTGAACTGGACAGGTTGGGCCCAGCTCTTGGATTATTTTAATTTTATTTTTGTGGGATTTTTGAGTCAGGCTATCAAGTAGCCTGGGTTGGCCTCAAAGTGTCTATGTGGCTAAGGATGGACCTTGAACTCCTGATCCTACTGCCTCTAACTCTAGAATGCTGGGCTTATAGGCATGGGTCACTACACCCAATGTCAGATGTTGAATTGTTTGAAAATTTTTTTATTATATTTTATTTCTATATATTTATTATTATATATTTATTATTTAGTATTGCATTTTAAGAAGCATATTATTTTTTATTTTTTAAATATTTTAATTATTATTTTATGTGTATAAGTGTATTGCCTGCATGCACGCAAGTGCATCCATGTTGTGTAATGCCTACGGAGGTCAGAAGAAAAGAACACCACATCCCCTGGAACTGGAGTTACAGACGGTTGTTAGCCATGATGTGGGTGCTAGGATTCAAACCCCAGTCCTCTGCAAGAGCAGCCAGTGCTCTTACTCACTGAGCCATCTCTCCAGCATAGAAGCATTTTATTTTTAATGATGTGTATATGTGTGAATATGCACATAAGTTCAAGTGTCCGTGGAGTCCAGAAGAAGCATCGATCCCCTGGAACTGGAGTTACAGTTGGTTGTGAGCTGCCTGACATGGGTGCCGGGAATTGAACTTGGATCCTTTGCAATAGCAGAACATGCTTTTAACTGCTGAGCCATCTCTTCAGCCACCGTTTCATGTACTTGTGTATGTGTGTACACATGTGGGTGCATGTGCCATGGCATACAAGTGGAGGTCAGAGAACAAGTTCTTTCCTTCTGTCATGGGGGTCCCTGGGATCAGACTTGGGTTGTCAGATTTGACTGCAGGTGCCTGTACCCTCTTGCTGGCCACAGGTGTTAGATTCTTGAAGAAGGTGACTTGGTGCCAGGAGTAGTGAGTGTCTAGAGGTGCCCTTGTCCTATCTTTGCAGCTGAGGCTCTCCCAAGTGCTAAGGAGATGAAGAGGCTGAAGTGGCTCTTTGGCTGCCCCTTGTTTCTGGATGATGTTGCCCAGGAGTCCTGGCTTCTTCCTGGCTCTAATGACCTGCTCCTGGAGGTTGGACCCAGGTATGTGCTGCTTTCTAGAGGACCTTGTTCCCATGTTACAAGGTACCTTGTCCCTTTGGCACTCACTACCCACCCCTTCACTTCCATTTATCTCCTTCCCCTTGTGGTCTTTGGAGATTTGGTTTTCCTTTGTTCCAGCCTACTGCCTAACAAGCTATGGAGGTGCTTTCCCTAAGGGGGCAAATGTCTTTGAAGACTAAACTAGCTCCTAAGTATATACTAGAAATAACACCTTACATCCTGAGAAGCTGAAATTGCAGCAGACTTTTTTGTTTTGTTTGTTTTCAGTACTGAGGATTAACCCTAGGACTTTATGCATGCTAAGTAAGCTCTGAACCATTGAGTTGGTTTCTGTTTTCTTTTTTTTGTTTGTCTGTTTGTTTTTTCTTTTTATTTCTTTTTATCTTGCCAAGTTTCCCAGACTGGCCTTGAAGTCACTTTGTAGCCCAGGCAGGGCTTAAACTTGCAGTTGTTCTGTCTCAGCCTCTTGAATAGCTAGATTACAGGTTTACGTATCCAGGCTTGTTAAAAATAACAGCAGTCTTAATACTAGAAGGGCCATTTATTGTTTAATAAACTTTCTTTTTTTGCCTTTTAAATGAGTTGGTTTAATTCAAGGTGATACAGAATTCAAAGTACAACAAAGATGGAACAGCAGGCTCTGGCAGGATTCCGGGCTGGATTTACTTAAAATTCACAGCTGAGGTAGGAGTAAGCTGAATGGAAACTAGAGACGGTGAACTATTGTATAATTTTTTTTTTTTTTCACAAAAGTTTATTACAATGTATAACAGGCTCCAGGACAACACTTTATTCTAGCTATAGGTAGCAAAAGATGTTACGGCAGGGAATCCAGATGTTTAAATAGGAATGGAAGAGGCTTACCATCATCTCAGGTATATGAAGAGCCAGATTTTTTTTTTGGTCTTTTTGAGACAGGGTCTCCGTGTAGCCCCAGCTGTCCTGGAACTCACTATGTAGACCAGGCTGGCCTTGAACTCACAGAGATCCACCTGCCTCTGCCTCCTGAGTGCTGGAATTAAAGGCATGCGCCACCACGCCCAGCCAAGATTTTTTAATTTCACCTGTGGCCAGGGGACCCCCCCCCCCAGGCCTTCACTTTCAGCTTCTCAAGTTTCTTCTGCTCCTCTTTTTGTTTCTGCCTGAAAGCCTAATCCTCCTCATCCATCTCCTTGGCCTACTTCTTGGGCTGTTTCAGGGGCTTCTTCTTGCCACCTTGGCAGCCTGACATGGCGCCTGCGGCCCCTTCCCCAGCTATTTTTTCTTTTTTTGGCCTTTTTGAGACAGGGTCTCCCTGTAGCCCCAGCTGGCCTGGAACTTGCTATGTAGACCAGGCTGGCCTCAAACTCACAGAGATCCATCTGCCTCTGCCTCCCAAGTGCTGGGATCAAAGGTATATGCTACTACACCCAGCCCTGATTGAGTAACTTTTGAAAGCAAATTTTCTTGGTGTGCAGTCTGAGGCAGGAGGCCAGTGGTGAAGAGGTAATGGTAGCATGTTGGCTAAATAGCAGCGGACAAGATCCACCTTCCCAGCTAATGCTCATTAGGACCCTCAAACTAACCATCTGACCCTCTCTTCAGGTTGAACTTCTCTACCCCAGCATCCACTAACATCGTTTCTGTGTGCCACGCTGCGGGCCTAGAGGCTGTGGATCGTGTAGAGACTACCCGGCGTTATTGGCTCTCGGTGAGGCAGCAGGCATTGTGGAAAATCAAGAGGAGCAAATGGACCAGAGATTAGATCATTAACTCTAGGATAAAGTCATGGGAGAAGCAAGGGGAGAGCTTCTAGCCTAGGCCTGCCCTTTATGCTTGCTGCCTGAAGGTACCTGGTTGTGGGGTGAATGGGCCAGCTTAGCTCCTCATTCTAATCTGTGCATCCTGGCATGAACTCATGCCCAGAAGGGGAGTTTTTTTGTAGTCTGAACAAAGCTGCTGCTTGGGCCGGGTATGCATAGCTCAGTGCTAGAGTATTTACAGAGTATACAAGATCCTGGGCTTGAGGGCTTGATTCTTACACTGGAGGAGGAAAAGATGCTATAAATGGTGGCAGTTGGCTGAGTAACTTGGAGAGCCAGGAGTGAACCTTTTCTCTCCATTCCTCAACTCCCCATTCCTTGTCTTCTGTATGTCTTCCTGGTAGTTTGCCCACCGCCCTTCAGCTGAAATGGAGGCCACTGCTCTGGCTGCCTTGCATGACCGGATGACAGAGCAGCACTTCCCTTACCCCATCCAGAGCTTCTCACCACAGAGCACCCCAGCCCCCCTCAATGGCCCCATCAACATACTAGCTGAGGGTCGGCCTGCCTTGGAGAAAGCCAACCAGGAGCTAGGTGAGCAGGAGTCCATGGGAGATGAAGGGAAGGGGCCAGCGTGGTCCAACAGGACTGCAGAGACCTGGAATAGGTAGCCTGAGGCATACTGTCAGCTCCTTTAGGGTTTGTCCCCCAGGTCTGGCTCTTGACTCCTGGGACCTGGATTTCTATACCAAGCGCTTTCAAGAGCTACAGCGGAACCCCAGTATGGTGGAGGTCTTTGACTTGGCTCAGTCCAATAGGTGAGGAGAAATGGTATTGTCCTGATCTCTTAGCCCATGGAGATTAGAAGGGAAGACCACAGGGACTCACCTTCCTTGTTCTACCTTGCTATAGGGGCCTCCTAGGATCTGTTTGAGGGCCTGAGCTCCTTACCCATCTAGGTGTTTACCTTTAAATCTTGGTTTTATCTTTATTTTCGTTCTGGATAATCTACAATGGCAGAATGTGTGATAGTTTTCTGGAAGGTACTTTGACATCTAAGTATGAATTGGCTGTGACTGTTGTTGGATGCTGTTGAGAAGACACAGTCCTGAGGAATTACCCATGCTTTTGAACTGCCTTCCCCTCCCCATGTCACCCCCAGTGAGCACAGCCGACACTGGTTCTTCAAGGGCCAGCTCTACGTGGACGGGAAGAAGCTGGCACACTCCCTGTTTGAGTCCATCATGAGTACCCAGGCATCCTCAAACCCCAACAATGTCCTAAAGTTCTGTGACAACAGCAGGTTGGCTGTGCCCTGTGCTGGTGTGCCCTTGGGTCTGAGGGGAGAGAGGCCTCGGGACAGTGGTTGGGTTGGCATGGCTCTTGGGAAGAACACAGGGTGTAGAATGACTGTCTCCATAGTGCAATCCAGGGGAGGGAAGTTCGATTCCTACAGCCTGAGGACCCTACACGACCAAGCTGTTTCCGGCAACAGCAAGGACTTAGACATGTTGTATTCACAGCAGAGACACACAACTTCCCCACAGGTGAGCTCTGGGTCCCAAGGTGCATAGGTGAGCTTAGAGGGTTCAAAGGCCCCAGGCCATAGGCTAAGCCTGGGTTGTCCTTATTTCCATGGGGGTGATCAGGGATGGGGTTTGTCTAGGTGGCACCCATATCTCCGTCCCTTTTTCTCTGCAGGAGTAGCCCCTTTCAGTGGTGCAACCACAGGCACAGGTGGCCGCATCAGAGATGTCCAGTGCACAGGCCGTGGGGCCCATGTGGTGGCTGGTACTGCTGGCTATTGCTTCGGAAACCTGCACATCCCAGGTTCCATTTCCTTCCTTTCTGCCCACCTTCCCTTCCAGATTCTTTGTCCTGGAAGGCATCACCTATATCTCTTAGGTCGAAGGGTCATCTGGGTGCCTTTACTTGGGAGGGAGGGCTTCAAAGTAGTCAGCTTTTTGCTGACTAAGATCAGAAGCAGTATAAGCTGGGTGAATCAGAGATTGCTACACTGGGTTTGCAGACTGTTGATTTTCTTTAGAAAGTTGCATCCACTCAGCCAGAAAACATGAGACTGGATTATCTTATGATCAACCCTGGCCCTCAAAAATCTAATTTCTTAGAAAAACGTTAAGAAGGACCTGGGGAGATGGCTTAGTGGTTAAGTCTCTATACTGCTCTTGCAGAGGACATGGGTTCAGTTCTCAACACCCATGGAAAATGGTTCACAACTGCCTACAACTCCAGGTCCAGGGGATATGATGCCCTTTTCTGAACTCTGAGGGCACCTGAGCTCACACATAAACATAGCCACATAGACATACACATATGCCCATAATTAAAAAAAAAAAGTTGAAAAGAAAACTATCTGGGTGTGGTAGTGAATGCCTTTAATCCCAGTACTTGGGAGCAAGAGGCAGGTGGATCTCTTTGAGTTCAAGGCCAACCTGGTCTACATAGTGAGTTCCAGGCCAGCTGGGGTTCCAGGGAGACCCTGTCTCCAAAAAACCAAACCAAACCAAACAGCAACAAAAAGCAAAACACATGCTATAATTTATAGTCATCTATTTTACTCTTTTTGTTATAAGGAAGGAAGGAAGGAAGGAAGGAAGGAAGGAAGGAAGGAAGGAAGGAAGGAAGGAAGGAAGGAAGGAAAGAAAGAAAGAAAGAAAGAAAGAAAGAAAGCAGTCTGATCCTAGATGATCCTAGGGTTGGTGTGTGTAGGTGTGTAGCTGTGTGGTAGAGATCTTACTTAGCACGTGCAAAGCTCTGGGATTGATCGCTAGCATTATTAACAGATAAAAAGTAGCATAATTAAATAAGTCCTATCATGCAGTGAGGAAAGGCTAGCTTTGGAGGTGGGAAGCAAACCAGTGCTTACCTGCAGGTTCTGTGCCTCCACATTGCAAGTACACAGGTGGTCCTTTATAGACAAGCACTGTACTACTGAGATACAGTCACAGCTCTTGCTTTCTGTTTTTATGGTGTATTCAATTTTTATTTTTTCATTTCAGGTTACAGTCTGCCCTGGGAGGATCCAAGCTTTCAGTATCCTGGGAACTTTGCCAAGCCTTTGGAAGTTGCTATTGAGGCCAGTAATGGAGCATCTGATTATGGCAACAAATTTGGGGAACCAGTGCTGGCTGGTGAGGCTGTGGGTATAGCAGGAAAAGAAACACCTCCTAGAGGGGCTTGGACAGATACTAGAGGACTTATATCTTCCTCTTACTCCCACACCAGGATTTGCCCGCTCCTTGGGTCTCCAGCTCCCAGATGGTCAGCGACGTGAGTGGATCAAGCCAATCATGTTTAGTGGGGGCATTGGGTCCATGGAAGCTAAGCATGTGGGCAAAGAGCCCCCAGAGCCAGGTAAGATGTGCCACCTTTCTCTGCATCCAGCCAACACACGGGGCAGCCAGAGAAAGTGAATCGTGAGGACATTATAGGGAATTGTTTCTACTTTCCAGGCTCCTGTTTCCTCTCTCCAGAATAGGTTGTCAAAAGAAGACTTTTCTGTGAGGGAGAGTGCTCTCAGTCTTTGCTGCCTTTGTCTGTTCCCCAGTATACTTATGCATGGCAGGGGCCCTCACCCTACCTCTGTTTAGTCATCACAGCTAGTATTAATTCGGTTCCTTTATGCTGGGAACTTTAATCTACTGGCTCAATTCAACAGAGCAAAAATTTATTGAGTACTCACCCATTGTGTGCTGGGTACTCTGCTAAGAGCTGTGGTAGAATCAGAATGAAAGTCTAGGTACTGGACGCACAAGATGGCTCAGAGGATAAAGACACTTGTCAAGCAAGCCTGATGACTTGAATTTGATCCCTGAAACCCTTGGTACAGGTGGTGGTGGGGTTAAAGAATGATTGCCAAGGGATGCGGGGATGCTTGTTGTGTTTCTCTCTCTCTCTCTCTCTCTCTCTCTCTCTCTCTCTCTCTCTCTTTTCTTTTTGAGACAGGGTCTCCCTGTAGCCCCAGCTGGACTGGAACTCACTATGTAGACCAGATTGTCTGGATCTCGCAGACAGACACTTGTTTTTGCTTCCCTAGTGTTGGAATTAAAGGTGTGTGCCACCATGCTTGGCTTCTCTCTCTTTTTTGTGAAAAGGTCTTACCTAGTTTATGTGGTGCTAGGGATTGAACCCAAGGTTTCAAGCATGCTGGTCAAGCACCATACCAGCTAAGCTATATCTCCATCCCATCCTTTTGGAATTTGAGCCATGTCACTAGACATCTTTTTTTTTGTCTTTCTGAGACAGGGTCTCCCTGCTGGAGCCCCAGCTGGCCTGGAACTCACTATGTAGACCAGGCTGGCCTTGAACTCACAAAGATCTGCCTGCCTTGGCCTCCCAAGTGCTGGGATTAAAGGCGTGCACCACCACACTCAGCTATCTTTTTTAATAATTTTAAAAAAAGTTTATTATTTCTGTGTGTGTGTACACCTGTGTATTATGGTACATATGTGGTGGTTAGAGGACAACTTTGGCCAGTTGTAGCCTTCTGTGTTAATCACTCTATTGCATGAGGAAGCTTCACTGGTGAGAGTTGAGAGATGCATTAGTGTTCTCTCTCCCCTCTTCTGCTATGTTCTGTGAGCCTTAGGTATAGAGGTTCCATTGTAAATGTGTCACTTTAGGGCCGGACATCTCTGGATACTTATTCTCTGTGTGTGACTAGTTGTGGAATTCTGTAATAGTCTCTCCATCTGCTACAAAAAGAAGTTTCTTTGATGAGTGGTGACAGGTAACCTCAGATACATTTTGAGTTCATTTTTTCCCTCTACGTTGTATGTTGACCTCCAACTTCATTCTTTCACATGTGGATATCCAGTTGTTTTAGACCTAGTCTTTAAGAAGATTATTCTTCCTGGTTGAATCATCTTCACATTCTATTCAAAAATCACTTGAAGGACTAGGGATATGGCTCAGTGGTAGAGCACTTGCCTGGCATGGTTGAAACCCTGGGTTCAATCATTAGCTAACACCAGAGGAGAACAAAATCAATTGGTTATGGTAGTGGACGTGTATAATCTTAGCACTTGAGAGGTTGAAGTAGGAAGACTTTTCAGTTTGAGGCCAACCTGTATCAAAAAAACAAAATGGGCTGGGCATGGTGGTGATTGCCTTTAATCCCAGCACTCAAGAGACAGAGGCAGGCACATCTCTATGCGATCAAGTCCAGCCTAGTATACATAGTGAGTTCTAGGACAGCTGGGGCTACAGGGAGACCCTGTCTCAAAGAACAGAATGCAACAAAAACCAACACTAAAATAAGAGGGAAGGAAGTAAGATCATGTGGCAAGGCTGTGGGTATAGTTCAGTGGTACAGCACCTGCCTGGCAACAGGTGCAAGGGCCTGGGTTTGATCCCCAGTTTACGTACTACACAAACACCCATAACCACAGTCAGCTGACTATAGACATGTGAGTTTATTTCTAGATGGACAGGTTTGTTTTTTTTTTCAGACAGGGTCTCCCTGTAGCCTCAGCTGGCCTGGAGCTGGCTATGTAGACCAGGCTGGCCTTGAATTCACAGAGATCCACCTGTCTCTGCCTCCCAAGTGTTGGGATTAAAGGTGTGCACCACCACATATGACATTAGCCTTATTTTTTTTTATTATATTTTAATAGTGTGTATATGTGTGCACATACATACACACACATACATGTGCATGCATGTGGAGGTCAGAGGACAACTTGTGGGATTGGAACTGTTCCTTCTACCTCATGGGTTCCGGGGATTGAACTCAGGTCATCAGGCTTGGTGGCAAATGCCTTCACCTGCTGAGCCGTCTTGCACCCCTGTCCTGTTTAGTCTTACATTATTTCCATTCTGCACTGTTTAATCTTTATATATAGGTGATTTTTGTACTAATGTGAATAAATCTATATGAAGAATTTTCTTAAATTTATTTTTTCAAGCAGAGAATAGATGCATTTGTAATTTTAGTTGTTACACTGTCCTCTGTTGAAGTTGTATAGTTGCTTCCCCTTCTGTCTAGTGGAGTGTTGTGGTCCTATTCCCCTCAGTTAGTCCTCAGTGCTGCCTTACTTTAACAGCCTTGGTGGTAGCTTCCCTAGGTTCTGGTTCTATCCTCCTTCTTTGCAGGGATGGAGGTTGTAAAGGTTGGGGGTCCTGTCTACAGGATTGGAGTTGGGGGTGGAGCTGCTTCGTCTGTGCAGGTGAGTGAGAATAGCTATGGAGGTAGACTCTATGATATCACTAGGTCCCTTGTTGAGGTGCATGGGGGGAGCTCCCAGCCTCTTTGAGCCAAGCTATGCCCTATGGTTCCCCAGGTGCAGGGAGATAACACCAGTGACCTGGACTTTGGGGCTGTACAGCGGGGAGACCCAGAGATGGAGCAGAAAATGAATCGAGTGATCCGAGCTTGTGTGGAAGCCCCAGGAGGAAATCCCATCTGCAGCCTCCATGACCAGGGTGCTGGTGGCAATGGTGAGGGAAATGGTTGAGACAAGGAAATGGGTCTACCTAGTCTCCTGCCAGATTTGGTTTAGGGAAAGGCATTGAGCATCTGCAGGCAACCACCCAGCTCTGGGTCTTCTGTTCTTCATCTTCTGTGTGCTGGACATGGTCAGGGATGGAGGTGGTAGAGCCTACTGCCATGGGATGGCAGGTAGCAAGGCTACAGCAGCAATTCGTACAGTGACACAGAATTAGATACTCCTCTGGAGACCAGAGACTGTGCTTTGTTCTCCTGGAGCTGACTATGACCAGGTTTCTGCTTCTCCCTGCCATTCTTTCACCAGGCAATGTCCTGAAGGAGCTGAGTGACCCAGCAGGAGCCGTCATTTATACTAGCCGCTTCCAGGTGGGTGAGCCTCATTCTGAAGCCTGGCTCTCCACCCTTCCAACTTCCCCTCCCTATCTTCTCCCCATTCCTAGCAGCATTGTGAGGTGAGGCAGTTCCTGCTGACCCTTCTTGTTTCTCCTGCCATGTTTGTACAGTTAGGTGACCCAACCCTGAATGCTTTGGAAATCTGGGGGGCTGAGTACCAGGAATCAAATGCACTTCTGCTGAGGCCCCCCCACCGGGACTTCCTGAGTCGTGTCAGTGCCCGGGAACGCTGCCCAGCTTGCTTTGTGGGCACTGTCACTGGAGACAAGAGGGTAAGTTGGCCCCAGTGATCAGAAGCAGACTCTATAGGCAGGCTGGAACTGCCGGGGTATATGGGCTGAATCGGGAGGGAATGAGAGGCAGGTGTAAGAGGTGTGGGGAACAGTAGGAAGGTGGTAGGGAGAAAGGAGGTACTCCACAAGGAAGCCAGGCAGGACAGGAGCATTTTTGCAGTGTTCTCCAGGTGCATTCCCTGCTGGTATTCAGTCTCATTCTCTCTGGGGGCTGTCTCTGAGTCCACAGATAGTACTGGTGGATGATCGTGAGTACCCTGTGGGACAAACTGGCCCGGGACATGCCTCCCAGCTGCCTCCACCAACCCCTGTGGACCTGGAGCTTGACTGGGTTCTGGGCAAGATGCCTCAGAAGGTATTCAGGTTACAGGTGGGAGTGTGTTTTCCTGTGGCCTTCTTGTCACATCCCTTTCCCCTACCTCTGTGCCTAGCCCTCCCCAGGTACTCACACTCAGGCCACTCTTCCGTTGCAGGAATTCTTCCTCCAGAGAGAACCCCCTGTGCTGCAGCCTCTGGCCTTGCCCCTGGGACTGAGCGTGCGCCAGGCTCTGGAACGGGTTCTAAGGCTGCCTGCTGTGGCCAGCAAGCGCTACCTCACCAATAAGGTCCTCCTTGCATCCTCTCTTGACCACTCTGCCCCCTGCATCTTTCCCTGTCATTCCACCCACCCCCAGCTGACCTAATTGGGGTTCCCTAGGCCCTGGTAGTGAAAGGGTCGGGGAGCAGGGCATCTTCCTTGCTGGCCTATTCTCCCTGCTACCCACCTTCTGTGTGCTCTTGTCTGTAACTGGGGGGAGAGCCAGGCCTCCCACTTCACTTGGAGGCAAGTAGATGAACATAGGCATGCCCTGACTCTTGCCCTCTTTCCAATTCCACCTGGTTACATAGGTGGACCGCTCCGTAGGTGGCCTTGTAGCTCAACAGCAGTGTGTTGGACCCCTGCAGACTCCTCTAGCTGATGTGGCTGTTGTTGCATTGAGTCACCAGGAACTCATAGGGGCTGCCACAGCTTTGGGAGAGCAGCCAGTCAAGAGCTTGCTGGACCCTAAGGTTGCTGCCCGACTGGCTGTGGCCGAAGCCCTCACCAACCTGGTGTTTGCTCTGGTCACTGATCTCCGGGTAAGCTCTTCACCACCCCCAGCCTCTATCCTGGAGCCCAGGCCTCTGAGATAATTCTGTATCCATCACTTACTTTCCCTCTTGCCCTTCATTGTATGCACATAAGCTCCTAGGCCCTATGCATCTGTCTTTCCTTCTAATGCCATGTCCCACTGTTCCTAGGATGTGAAGTGCAGTGGAAACTGGATGTGGGCAGCCAAGCTCCCAGGCGAGGGTGCAGCTTTGGCTGATGCCTGTGAGGCTATGGTGGCGGTGATGGCAGCATTAGGTGTGGCAGTGGATGGTGGCAAGGATTCCCTCAGCATGGCTGCCCGGGTTGGCACTGAGACTGTGAGGGCTCCTGGTAAGGTTGGAGCCCTTGGGAGAGAAGAAGAATCTCTGGTCCTGGGCTGGAGCCTTGCTTAGTTACTTCTTTCTTGGCAGGATCGCTGGTCATCTCAGCCTATGCCGTCTGTCCAGACATCACAGCCACTGTGACCCCAGACCTTAAGCATCCTGGAGGAAGAGGTATGTCTTCATCCTCTTTGTCCTTGCTTTTGTGTAAACCAAATAAACCCTTTCCTCCCCAAGTTTGTATTGGTCAGAGTGTTTTGTCACAGCCCTGAGCTCATTTCAGCCCTGAGCTTTACTGCTTCCTGGGGCTAGCATTTGGGGGTATCTCACTGTATGCTGGGAACAATTTGAAGAGGGATCCTGAGCTGCTCTTCCCCTGTTCTCTCTCTCCAGGTTGCCTGCTCTATGTGCCTCTGAGCCCTGGGCAGTACCGGCTTGGGGGCACGGCTCTGGCCCAGTGCTTCTCCCAACTTGGGGAGCAGCCTCCTGACCTAGACCTTCCTGAGAACCTGGTGCGTGCCTTCCACATCACTCAGGGGCTGCTGAAAGGTGAGTGAGGCTCTGGTGTTTGTGGTAGCAGTCATGTTGCAGGCACTTGTTTCCTGAACAAGTGAGCATGGGGTACTAGGGACACAGGGCCTTCTCTCATGAGTTCCTCCCCTTCTCACACATACTACTGGTTCTCCAGATGCTATGGAGCCATGAACCTCAGCCTTAGGTGTCTGAACTTTTCCTTCTTCCTCCAGACCGCCAAATCTGCTCAGGACATGATATCAGCGACGGAGGCCTTGTTACCTGCCTGCTAGAGATGGCCTTTGCTGGGAATTGTGGGATAGAGGTGGATATACCTGCCCCTGGAATTGATGGTAAGGAGCTTGGGGTCTAGCCTCAGGTCTGGGCTACCTTTCTCACTTGTAGACTTTCTGGTATAGAATATGGTATCTCTGACCCTTTCTTCTGAGTCTTCAGCTGTCTCCTCCATACTGTCTTCTGACCTCTAAATTGGATGGCACCTATCATGCTCTAGATTATGTCCCTCTGAGACCTCTCAGCCCCTGTTGCAGCTTCTTTGATGCTACCCCACCCCCTCCCCCTAGACACGACTGGGCCTGAGTCCCTGGAAGCATTGTAGTCAACCTGACTCACCCCCATTGCTCTTGCAGTGCTACCTGTGCTGTTTGCAGAGGAGCCAGGCCTGGTACTGGAGGTGCAGGAGCCAGACCTGGCTGGAGTACTGCAGCGATACCATGGTGCTGGCCTATGCTGCCTGGAACTTGGCCACACAGGCGAGGCCGGGCCCCAGGCCATGGTGAGGAAGCCAAAGAGAGTGGTGCTCATATGGTCCACCCTGCTGGGCATCATGAGGTCACCCTTTTTCCCTGCCCTTAATTGGGTTTCTCCTTCCCAGGTCCGGGTATCAGTGAATGGGGCTGTGGTTGTGGAGGAGCCTGTCAGGCAACTGAGAGCCCTCTGGGAGGAGACGAGTTTCCAGCTGGACCTGCTGCAGGCAGAACCATGCTGTGTGGCAGAGGAGGAACAGGGCCTGAAGGAGCGGACAGGGCCCAGCTACTACCTACCACCCACCTTCCCCATAGCCTCTGTGACCTGTGAGCCTGGTGAGGGAGTGTACACTAAAGACCTGGATGCTTCAGCTTGTCCCAGAAAAAGTAGCTGGGATGTTGGGATGGGTAGGTAGCCCTTTGGCTCAGAGACACTTTTTCCAGGTGGTCCCATCCCCCGAGTTGCCGTATTGCGAGAAGAAGGCAGTAATGGAGACCGAGAAATGGCTGATGCCTTTCACTTGGCTGGGTTTGAGGTGAGCATGGCGACCAGTAGAGCTGAAGGCCTTGATCTAGCCTTGGGTTTTATGTCCTGACATTTTCCTCACCATCCGGCTAGGTGTGGGATGTGACCATGCAGGACCTCTGCTCTGGAGCCATCAGGCTGGACACTTTCCGCGGTGTGGCCTTTGTGGGAGGCTTCAGCTATGCAGATGTCCTGGGCTCTGCCAAAGGTCAGTATGTAGACCACCATCTCCATCTTCCTATAAAGATGCCTTTGGCTCCCTCTGCCTGGGCTGAGGACTGGTCTGTCATTCCCACAAAGTCGGGCAGAGTACTTTGGTTCAGGGCCAGATGCCACCAGAAGGACTGAGAGCATCTAAAAACAGGCAGATGGGCCTTATAGGGCCGTGCCAACCTGACTTGAGCAGATCTTCCTATAGACAGCCAGATATTTCAGTTTCCAGAGAAGCCAAAAGTTCAGTTTTACTGTGTGTGAATTTTTTTTTTTTTTGCTTTGAGACAGTTTCATGTAGCTCAGGCTGACCTCAAACTAGAATTTGTCCTCCCTCAGCCTTCCAAGAACTGGGATTTACAGGAGCGAGCCACCCACATGCAACTGAAATTTTACTTTTGAATCTTAGACAACTAAGTAAAATGTTTTGAAAATGTTCTGGCATAGCATAAAGAAAATCATGGGCCACCTATCAGGCTGATTGAAGCAGATAAGGCTGCTTCTTCCTTCAGGCTTGCCCGAGGCTCCATAGAGTGGCACTGCTTGCTGGAATGGAAGAGCAGATGTCTCCCTTCATTCCCTGCTTCCCCTTGTCTCAGGCCTTCTACATCTCACCCTGACTTCCCTGTTCTTTTAGGGTGGGCCGCTGCCGTGACCTTTAATCCACAGGCCAGGGATGAGTTGAAGCGCTTCCGAAAGCGCCCAGACACCTTTAGCCTGGGTGTGTGTAATGGTTGTCAGCTGTTGGCTCTGCTGGGCTGGGTGGGAGGCAACCCCAGTGAAGAGCCAGAGGAGGCCAACCATGATTCCCAGTCAACACAACCTGGCCTCCTGCTCCGCCACAACCTATCTGGGCGATTTGAGTCTCGCTGGGCCAGTGTCTGTGTAGGGCCTGGGCCAGCCCTGATGCTTCGAGGGATGGAAGGCGCTGTGCTGCCTGTGTGGAGTGCCCATGGGGAAGGTCAGGCTGGGAAAGGCAAGGGAGGGTCTGAGGGCTGGGGCTGAAGGAACTTGGCAATCACTTTCCTTCTCCTTTATTTCCAGGTTACATGGCATTTTCTTCTTCTGAACTCCAAGCCCAGATAGAGGCCAAGGGCTTGGCTCCCTTACGTTGGGCAGATGATGATGGGAACCCGACAGAGCAGTACCCCCTGAATCCCAATGGGTCTCCAGGGGGTGTGGCTGGTGTCTGCTCCCAGGATGGGCGCCACTTGGCTCTCATGCCACACCCTGAGCGGGCTGTGAGGCCTTGGCAGTGGGCATGGCGACCCCCTCCCTTTGATGCTCTAGCCACCTCTCCCTGGCTGCAGCTCTTCATCAATGCCTGGAACTGGACCCAGGAGGACAGCTGCTGAGCAGACCACAGCTCATCTCTGAGTGTCTGCTGCCCTCTTCCCCATTGCCTTCAGGAGTACCCCTACCTGATCTCCAGAAGCATCTTGGACAGACAAGAGCTGAAGTGCTAGAAACACCTCAGCTGCTTTGCTCATTTTAGCTTTGCACTGCTATAGCTGTTCTCAGTTTCTGAGTTCCAACATGGCTCACTGTTCTTGAGGCCAGCAAGCAGCCCCTGATAGTGCAGGGTGTTGGCAGGGCCCTCCTTCCTAGTGACCACTACCCTATGCCTCATTTCCCTCATTTTGAGATCTGAGAGATGTCTTATGTCCCCCTTTCTTATTTTGATTTTTTGAGACGGGCTTTTATTCTGTAAATAAGTGTCTCTTGCCTCAGCCTCTTGAGTCCTGGAATTACAGGTGTGGGCCATCATGTCTGGCACTGATGTAGTCGACGGACAGTGCATACCAGCCCCTTCCACCTCATTGTTCCCATCTGAAAAGAACAGCTTTCAGGATTCTGTTTTGGATATGCTCTGTTGGTTTTAGGAATTATTGTATGCAAAAGTGTCACTGACAGAATTTCTGGCCATGCCTAAGGCTGACCTGGTGCCAGCCTCTCTGACCCACATTCCTGAAATTTGCTTCTCCTAATGTAGCAACTGCTTTTCTTGTGGTGGTTGGCACCTTCCTCCTTAGAATGGAGCCCTTAGCTTATTGGAGTACTACCTCTTATCATTCATTTCTGTAACTGCTCCTTGATCAGCTATGGTGCCAAGCAGCAACACTGCTCCCATGGAGTGCTTAGTCTTAATAGAATTAAAATAATAGCTATGGGGCTAGAGAGAAGACTCAGCAGTTAAGAGCACTCGCTGCTCTTGCAGAGGACCTGGGTTTGATTCCCAGCACCCACATGGCATCTGTAACTCCAGTTGCAGCACCCTCTTATGCTGGCATTGCGTGACAAGGTTGCACTTACACACATGCAGGCAATACACGCATACACATAAAAATAATAAAGCCAGGCGTGGTGGCACATGCTTTTAATCCCAGCACTCAGGAGACAGAGGCAGGCGGATCTTATGAGTTCAAGGCCAGCCTTGTCTACATAGTGAGTTCCAGGACAGCTGGGGCTACAGGGAGACCCTGTCTCAAAGAAGAACCCCCACACACAAAATAATAAAATACTAAAAATAGTATCTGTATGTTGTACTACCAAGCCAAGTAGGTGCTAGATAGTTTATATGTGTCTGAATTCTCATCAAAATCAAGAAAGATACTTGAAAGCCCTTCTCCAGTTAACAAAGGACAGTTTAAACTGCCTGGTATTGGACATACAACTTGAAAGGGACATCAGTGAGCCCTGCCCACCCAGCTGCATCTGTTTCCAATCATCTTGTGGCCACATTTCCTGGAAGTGGCTGCTCTTGATGACAGCCATCTCCATCAACCTTTGCTTTCTTCTCTCACACAAATATGTTTAGAAGTCACTTTTGTTGTACAACTGGAGTCAGGTGGCTCCTCAAAAGTTCCACATCTTGATTAAAGGGGTTCCCTAAAATTGGAGACTCATCTTGGATCTCTAGGGCATCAGGGTCTGTAGGCAGAGGGAGGGGGAGCACTTGTACCTCTGGTAGGAAGTAGCACCCCAACAAGATAATAATGAAATGGTGTTAAATTGCAGGCTGAGGTTGGGGGTGCAACTTAGTGGTAGAGCACTTTCCTAGAATGTGCTGGCCCCTGGGTTTGATCTCCCTGCAGCATCAAAAAAAGGATGGGGTGTACAGAAAGTCAGATTTTCCTTTTCTCTTATTGCTTAGTAAAATTGCCTGTTTTGAGCAGAATAGTTCTAAGGATTTTTTTTTCATTTAAGTTTTAAAAAATATATTTATATTTTTATGTGTACGTGTGTATTGCCTTCATGTAGGTAAGTGCACCTGTGTCGGAGACTGTCGGAGGAGGACAGAAGAGGCTGTCAGATACCCTGGAACTGCAGTTCCAGACAGTTGTTAGCTGCCATGTGGGTGCTGGGATTCGAACCCGGGTCTTCTGCAAGAACATTCAGTGTTCTTAACTGCTGAGCCATTTCTCCAGCCCCGAAGTTTAAAAATTTTTAAATTGAGCTTTTGCACATTTTTGTTTGTCCTTTTGAAACCCTCATATGGCGCAGGCTGGCCTTGAACTCAATATGTAGCTGAGGGTAGCCTTGAATTCCTGGTCTTATTTCTACCTTCCAAGTGCTGGGATTGTAGGTGTGTGTTACCTACCACCCCCCAACCCTCTGAGTACCATTTCTGACATGAACATTCCCTCCTGAAGCTATGAATGAATATATATTTTAAACCTGGGTTTGCAGGATGGCTCAGTAAGTAACAGTGCTTCCACCAAGCCTGGTGACCTGAGTTCAATTCTTGGGACTCACATGGTAGAAGAGCTCATTCCCAAAAATTGTCCTCTAACCTTCACACAAGGGTCATGGCATATTTGTGTACACACAAATAAATGTAATTGAACCTAATGTCACGTGTGATTTGAAGGTTAATATAAGACTTAAGAGATCGGCATTACTAAGTGCTTGATGTAAAAGTATAAGGCTGGCTCATGAGGTAGCCAATGGCACTGCTTGTGGTTTACATCATTCCTCAATTAGCCAAACTCCCATTTTGTTCTCCACCTAAGTCTCTTGCATGATTCTGGGTTGTTTCAGTGACAACCCTGAACTTTCCTCCAGTGCCCTCCATTCCTATATCATTTTGGATTACCTATACCTGACCATGTGTATACTTTCCCTCTTTTTGCTGCCTCACAGACAACAGGACCTCTAATAAGTTCTTTCCTCCAATGATCTCTTTTTCTCTCTTTTGTCCAACTTCATTCAGTACCCTTTACTTGACCTAATATCTTTTTTGTTTAAATATTTTATTATTATTTTTGGTCTTTTTTGAGACAGGGTCTCCCTGTAGCTCCAGCTATCCTGGAACTCACTATGTAGACCAGGCTGGCCTTGAACTCAGAGATCCACCTGCCTCTGCCTCCCAAGTACTGGGATTAAAGGCGTGCACCACCACGCCCTGCTTAAATATTTTATTATTTTTATTTTATATGTATTCATGCATTGCCTGCATGTAGGTAAGTGCACCTGTATTGTGCAATGCTTTTGGAGGACAGAAGAGGCTGTCAGATCCCCTGGAACTGAAGTTATGGACGGTTGCTAGCTGCCATGTGGGTGCTGGGATTTGAACCTGGGTTTCTACAAGAACAGCCAGTATTCTTAACTGCTGAGGCATCTCTCCAGCCCACACTTTGACATAGATTTTTAAAGGTTTCTCCTTAAGAGTAGCCTTAGTGGGTTGGGTTTGTAGGTGGTTTGGCTTTGCTGCTCCCCCCAAGCATTTCCCCCTTTCATTTCATTTGTTCAGTCATTCAGGGTTACAAGTTCTTGTCAATGAAAGGAACTAACTTGACTGACACTGGGGTGATAGACAGGTGTACCAGTTTATCTTTCTCTGTCTCCCCCAAACCCCAACCTGGTAGATCATTAGTATTGCCTTTCACACAAGGTTCACCCCATCCAGGCAGACATGGGCTCATGTAACATCTCTCTGATCCAGCTTCAGTAGCAGACAGGGTGGGACAGAGGGCTATGAAACTGGAACTTCACTTGAGCCTGTCCTCTGGCCACGTTAGAGGGACGTTGACTTGGAATAAGTGATTTCTTTCTCCTGCCGTTCAGAGGCAGCTCCTTGTACCTCCAGAACTCTTTAACAGCAAAGGTTTCTAGAGGTGAGAACATGTCACAGTTTGCTTTTATAAAGGGCAGGAAGGGATGTGGTAGGTCTCAGAGGTTAGACAGGGTGAGTTAAGGAGCTGCATGAATGGAAATAAGTCTGTCTGGGATACAAAATCCAAATGAGAAACAGACCAGGCAAACACCTAATGGAACTAAGGAATCTGGACAAGAACCTAAGAACATTAGGAAACCACTTGAAGGGGCTGATGTAGGGGACAGATGTGAACAGATTTGTGATTTTGGTGTTTTGAGGCCTATACTGGCTTCAGACTTGCTATGTTATTAAGAATGACCTTGAGCTTCTGATCCTCTTGCCTCCATCTCCTGAGAGCTGGGATTACAGGAATGCACCACACTGGTTTGGTTGGTTTTTCGTGTGTGGTATGTGTGTGTGTGCATGCTCAGACAGGTTCTCACCCTTACCATATAGCTCTGACTGCCCTGGAACTTGCTATATAGACCAAACTGGCCTAGAACTCTCAAAGATCTGCCTACCTCTGCCTTCTGAGTGCTGGGATTAAAAGCCTGGGCCGCTATGCTTAGTTTTATGTAGTGTTAGGAAACACATCCAAGACTTCATGCATGCTAGGCAAGCCTCTGAATTGAGTTATGCTTCCAGCCCCAGATTTGGGAGGTCTGGTATGAAAGCTATACAGTGACCACACAGAAATAGTGCTGGCCTGGGTCAGTGGTGGCATTGGAGATGGAGAAAAATGGAAGGATTTGAGAACCAGTGAAGGGTAGAATCACCAGGAAGTAGATGTGAAAGGAGATTGGGGTGGAGTGGATAAGAAAGGAGATGAGGGGAAAAGAGAGCAAGCCAGTAGTGAAGCCTAGAGCCCAGGCTTTCCTCCTGGACCACAGGGTACACAAACATTTCACTAATAGTGAGAGGAACATGGTGTGCTTTGCTTAGGAATTGTTGAGTCTGAAATGTCAGTGAAACACGCTGGTAGAGATATTTAGGAGGCAGTCAGGAGGGATGTGTACTGGAAATGAGGTTTGAGGTACTGGAATGTAGATGGATGGATGGGGAAGAATGGGGTGAATGTGCAAATCTGGGAGCCCGGCATTGAAGGGCATGGCAGAGAAGGAGTGAATAGCCACTATGGTCAGGTCTAACCGGTAGAGTGGCTTTCCATTGCCTGAGTATCCTGGGATGCCCTGGAAGGTATCCAAGGTATAGATAAAAAAAGAATGCTCTGTTTTTTTTCCTCCCACTGAGTCCTAGCAGAGCTGGTCCAATCTTCACCCTGAGGCAAAGTCCTCCCTTTGCCAACATAGTGTGGCAGGTCCTCCTCACTCTCCCAGTACCTCACTTTGGCCAAACAAAACAGGTCAGAAGGTTCAGCTTGTAGGCCTTTATATACTAGATCCTGATGATTTCCAAAATGGAAGGGGTTCCAAAGGAAAGGACAGGTGCTGCCTAATTTGGCCCAAGAACAAGGCTTATATCCTGGCCTAGAGTGTAGACCAAAGAAATCCCTACTCGTCATTGTGGGCTACTCTTACCCACTGGGATTCATGGGATTCTGAAGAGATGTACTGGGTCCTTCCCTCTCTACCCTTCCTCAGACTCAGGATAGGCCACCAGGTTGACATCTGATACCACATGCCCTGTCATCTCTTAGTTTGGCTTCTCTCTACCTCTGGAATGTGTGTTGAGACAGGTGTGAGAAGCAAGAGGTCGTGAATCTGATGAGAAGTTGCAACTAAGGGTTACCAGAACCGAGTTGGTAGGATATGCAATTCTCTCTGGGGGTGGGGGTGGAGGTGGATGGGAGCTGTGTTCTTGGTACTGCAATTTGAATAGGCTTGTCCCTACCACAACTCCTATTGAAGCTTGGTCTCCAATGTAGCAATGTTGAGAGGTTGGCCTAGTGGAAGGCATTAAGGTCATGGGGATACCACCCTCATCAATGAGTAAATTTTTTTTTTGTTTCCCATCACCTCCCTGGTAGTATAACGGGCATATGGAAATATGAATATTTTTTGAGGGTCTCACAATATAGCTCCAATTAGCCTGAAACTTACTATGTAGCCCAGGCTGGCATCAAATTTGTGGCAATCTTACCTCAGCTTTCCAAGTACTGGAATTATAGGCCTTAAGCTACCATACCACATGAAAATATCAATTATGGTGTTTGCCTAATGCTTAGAAGCAATGAGAAATTATTTAAATAGTTATCTGAATAGTGTTTTGCCAGGAAAAAAAAAATGCCCTAGCTTCCCTTTTGATCGGCAATGTAAACAGAATGGGAAAGAAAACGTCTGTTCTAACTGCCTTCCTTCTTCCCCCTAATTTTTTCCCCCAAATCTAAGGGTTAATCATTAGACACTCTATCACTAACAATATCCCCATCCCTGGCTTGCCAGGGTACCACCCCAAGCCTTTGGCTTGCCAGGGTACCATGGCTTTGAACTCTCTATGCAGCCAAGTATGACCTTGAACTTCCTTTTTAAAAATATGTATTTTGCCAGATGTAGTGGAGCATACCTTTAATCCCAGCACTTGGGAGGCATAAGTAGGCGGATCACTGTGAGATCAAGGCCAGTCTGGTCTACATAGTGAGTTCCAGGACAGCTGGGGCTACAGGGAGATCCTGTCTCAAAAAGACCATATATATATATATGATTTTAGCCAGGCATGGTGGTGTACACCTCAATTCCAGCACTTGGGAGGCAGAGGCAGGTGGATCTCTGTGAGATTGAGGCTAGTCTTATCTACATAATGAGTTCCAGGCCAGTTGGGGCTACAGAGAGATCCTGTCTCAAGAAAACAAACAAAAAAAAAATGTTTTGGAAAATGGTGTGTGTGAATGTACACATGTGAGTGCAGGTTCTATGGAGTCCAGAAGATGGCACTGGATTCCGTGGAGTTGGAGTCACAAGTAACCACCCAGCATGGGAGCTGGGAACTGAGCTCAGGTCCTTTGCAAGAGTAGTACATATTCTTTTCTTTTTAAAAATATTTATTATTTTTATTTTATGTGTATGAGTGTATTGCCTGCATGTATGTGAGTGCACCCATGTTGTGCAATGCCGCGGGGGTCAGAAGAGGACTTTGGACTCCCCTGGAACTGGACTTAAGGACGGTTCGTCGACACCATGTGGGTGCTGGGAATTGAACCTGGGTCCTCTGCAAGAGCAGTCAGTGGCTTTTAACTGCTGAGCCCCTTCTCCAGCCATGACTGAATTTTTTTATCCTTCTGCCTCTGCTTCTCAAGTATAGGCACAGGCCACCTGGTTTATTTTGTAGTGGGATTGAATAGAGCCCCTGGCCTGCAACTTTCTATGTAGGCCAGCCTGACCCCGAACTCAAGGTTCTCTTGCCTCCACCTCCATTACAGAGCCCCATATCTGGTTAAATTTTGAATTTTGATTAGTATATTTAAATAATTTAGTCTACTTTAGCTGGGCATGGTGGCTTATATCTGTAATCCTAGCACTCTCAGGAGGCTGAGGGAAGATTTCTATGAGTTCAAGGTCATCCTTGGCAACATAGTGAGATCCAGGCTAGCCTGAGTGAGACCTAGTCTCAAAAAAAAAAAAGTAAATTAGTAATATTTCCTAGCATTTGGGAAGCTGGGTGAGGAAGACTGCCTCAAGTTAATGACCAACCTGGGATATATAGCAAGTTCCAGGCCAGACAGGGATATATAGCAAGACCCTGTCCCCCTGACCCCCAAAGAAACCCAAAAGGATGGGGCTGATTGGATGGCTTTGTGGTTAAGAGCACTTGCTGCTCTTCTAGAGGATGAGTTTGGATCCAAGCAGGAGGCTCACAGCTGCCTGTAATTCCAGCTCCCGGGAGATCTGATGCCCTTTTCTGACTTCTGAGAGCACCTGCACATATATGGCAGACAGACAAACAGACACAAATACATCTTAAAAAACCTAAATAAGGGGCTGGAGAGATTGCTCAGTGGTTAAGAGCACTGATTGCTCTTGCAGAGGACCCAAGTTTGATTCCCAGCACCCACACGGCGGCTAACAACCATCTGTAATTCCAGTTCTAGGGGTCCAATGCTCTCTTCTGGCCTCCACTGGCATTGTACGTGGGCACACCTACCTACCTACATGCAGGCAATACACTCATACACATAAAATAAAAAACCTGAATAGTTTATGTTCTTATACAGTTTATTTTAAAATTTACAAACATTCTAAGTAGGGGTTCATGAGTTTCACCAAAATCTCAGAGGTTCACAGTAGAAACAGAGGCTTAAAACTCCTGCATAATAGAAATATGTTGCCCTAACTCTTCCATAAAGGATGTGTCTTACATTGGGTGTTGCATCATCTATCTGTAGGTTTGAGTCCATCTTTTGGTGCCTTCAAAGGGAAGGGACTGTCCCAGAGCCCAGAATCAATCGGTACCAGTTGTGGGTCTGCTGCCACTAGCGGGCAGGCTAAGAGCTGGACACACATTCACGCCCTGAGAAAAGCAGCCTCGTGCCATCTCTGTCGACTGAGATTTGTCCCATGATACTCATCGTCTAGCCACAGCCAGCCGGACCAAGGATTTCACTGGTCTCTGGCTGAGGGCCTGGGAGAGGCAGGCAGGAGAGCTTGCCAGAGAGGTACTTTTAGATCAAATGGCAAGTGACCTAGATAGCTCTAGTTTCCTGGGGAGTCTGACTGTGAACAGACTGGGGTGTCAGCATTGAGAAGGCCAGCAGAGGTAAAAGATACCAAGAGAAGGATGTAGAGCCAAGAGTAGAGATCTGCCAAGATAGAGTGGCCTTCCACCCCAATCTCCCAGGGGAAATCCAGCCCTGGGTTTTGGCATATTTCCTTCCTATCATTTGGAATAGCCCATCTAATCCTGTCCCAAGAGCTCACAGACTGAGGAGAACCAGGGGTCCTCAGCTGCCTGAGGCTCACAGTGGAGATGAGAAGTGCTGGGAACTCCAAAGGGATAAATTGAAAAGGCTTGTTCCCCTCTCTTCTCTAGATTGGCATCCTTTGGCTCATGAATAGGTCTCCACCCCTGGTATCCAGTGCTATGATCCTGTTAACACCTATGTCCTTGGTGGTCCCTAAGGACTTTTGATCTGCTTGAATGCTCACAAAGTAATTAAGAGCTGTTGCCCCTGGCAGGAAGGACAGATAACATGCAGACAGAAATGGGAGGGAGGGGCAGAGGTCTGCATGGAGAGACCCTGGCTCCCTTGGTTCCTTGTGGCCAAACTCCTTCTATCCCATGGGAGCCTGCAGCATCCCTTCTCCCATGGAGTAAATCTAGTTCCTAGTACCCACCCAGAAACAGACTGATTCAGCTACATCCACACCTCAATCCTTTTGCAAATTACATACTTTCCTTTTTTTCTTTTTTTTTTTCTTGGCCTCACCATGTAACTCTTACTGGCCTAAAATTCACTATGTAGACCAGGCTGGCCTTGAACTTGTAGAGATTTGTTTGCCTCTGTCTTCTAAGTGCTGGAATTAAAAGCATATGCTACCACGCTTGGCCGCATTCCAGCTCTAACAGTGCTTTAGAGATGAGGAAAAGCTGAGAAAACTGATGCCCACAGTAAGAAATAAGGAGTACAAACTGGGTATGGTAGTGTACACTTGAGATCAGAGCACTAAGGCAGGAAGATTACAAGTTGGGGGCCAGCCTGTCTGATCTAAGAGAGAGAGAGAGAGAGAGAGAGAGAGAGAGAGACTGGGGTTACAGCTCAGTGATAGGAGTATTGCCTAGCAGGGAAAAGAGCTTGCCTGTGGGAGATATAAAAGAAACATACTGTCTTTTCTATCAATTAAATAAGACAAAACTTCACATAAAAAATTGCGAAGAAGCCACTTGTCAGAAATTCAAATTCCTCCTAAGACCAATACTTCTTGAAATCAAAATATACATTCAAGGTTGTACTTGGTGCTGAAAATTATATTCTGCTTATCAGTGATGCTTATCAACTGCATCACTTTGAGTTAGCCAACCATGAGCTCTGACCACTCAGAGTTTGATACAGGACCTCTTTGCATTTGGAATAAAGACCCAGTGGGATCTTCACTGGGTGTGCTTGCTTGCTGGATTTAGAGCAGCTATGTTCCCATCCACCGAGGTAAAACTCTACCCTTGCCTTGCCAAAATATTTTGGATTGTGAGGTCATTTTCTTGAGATTCTCAAATGCATTTCTAACATTGCCTAGCATTGTGAGGCCCTGGGCCCTGGGTTCAACTCTGAGCACTGCAAACAAACAACAAATAAAATTCTCCATACTTGGCCATGTTCACAATTCTCTGCCATCCACCTACTCATCCACCCCGAGCTGATATATTTGCATTTCAGGCACCTCAAACCTCCAAGTTTCTACACTTATGTCCTGGCTAGAATACCTCTAGGAAGTCCTCAGGAAGTCAAGACTCAAAGCAAACTCCATTGGTACTTATACACCCCATAAGGCTTTACTTTTTTATTGCTAGGCCTTCAAGTAGGGACTGGCAAAGCAAGGCATCAATAAATACCTGTGGCTCCATTTCACTAGATCATTAGAGTCAGGAGTGGGGGCGGGTGGACAAGAATCTCCTTGCCCAGTTCTTGGCTGGGAAGTAGATGCCATCTAGAAACCACGAGGGCATGGGCATCTTCCTGGTTTCCAGGCATTGGCACTAGGTTTATTTAATAGTGCAACAATATACCAGGACTGATATGCTCTAAACGTTATGTCAGGTGCTAGGGATCAAGGATGAATGGAGAAATTAACTGAAGGATGAAGTTGAACAAATACTTCAAGAACACTTTATAAATCTGTAAGAGGAAAACACAGTTTAATCTGCGCTTTGGTCCAGGTGTTCTTGGGGAGAGGCTTTCTCTCACCCTCTAAGGAGGAAGATTGAAGGGGATTAGAACCATAATCCTCAGGTTGGGTGTCAAGGCTTGAGGTCTGAAGCCAGACCCGCACCTGGGCCTATTGTTTCCTTAATTCCCAGCATGGGATCTTGGAATTAGAGGTCTGGTTGGCAACCCACTAGCGGTTAAGGGGCCCCAGGACACCCCCAAACGATTCTCCCTTCACTCAGGAGACTCCACCTACAGGCCTCTTGAACCACTGTTATCAGGGATAATCTCAAGTGATTTTAGAAGGTGCGACTCCTTTAAAGAAGGTGGCGGACATGGCGACTGACCCACCGCAGGCTTCGGAAATCCTAAACACAGGTCGGATCAGCACACCATATCCCTTATCCCCACCCAGTTCTCTCCAAAAGGGTGGGGGCTCTCCAGAGCGCAGGCGCTGATAGGCCAGCGCGATCATAGGGCGTGGCAAAATCTTAAAGGCCCAGGGCTAAGCAAGCGCGGAGGCCGTGGCTGTTGCGGGAACCCAGGGTGGAGATGTCTCGAAGGCCCCTGTAGGTTTCCTTTAAACCTTTCTAATGCCCATACTCTAGTCCCAGGCTATGGAGCCCACCAGAGACTGTCCACTGTTCGGGGGCGCCTTCTCCGCCATCCTCCCTCCTGGAGCCATTGATGTGAGGTGAGGAAACCCAGGCGGCCCCGGAGGCCGGTCGGGTGGGTTGCGGGAAGAAGCCTGAGACAAACAGGGTCTCCCTGCCCCTCTCCAGCGACCTCCGACCGGTTCCGGACAACCAAGAAGTTTTCTGCCATCCGGTGACCGACCAGAGCCTGATCGTGGAACTTCTGGAGCTGCAGGCCCACGTGCGGGGCGAAGCGGCTGCGCGGTGAGTGGGGCGGGGGGCGTAGCTGGCCAATGGGAGGCCTGGACCCGAGGAGGTGGGCGGGACCGATGGCTGGACGGTTATTCAGGACAAGAACCCCAAGGGCAATAACACCCCACGGCCTGAAGAGAGGGAGGCCTAAGACTTAAACATATGCAGGGCGTGGTAGCGCACGCCAGTGGTCCCAGGAGTTGGGAGGGAGAGGCAGACGGATCTCCGTGAGTTCAAGGCCAGCCTGCTCTACATAGTGAGACCCTGTTTCAAAAAGACTAAAAAAAGAAACATGTTCAAGGGTGGGGTTGAGAGATGCCCCTCCCAGCCCATGCCCCCTTCCACTCCAGGTACCATTTTGAGGACGTTGGCGGGGTGCAGGGGGCTAGGGCGGTGCAAGTGGAGTCTGTGCAACCTCTCAGTTTGGAGAACTTGGCCATGAGGGGCTGCTGTCAAGATGCCTGGTTCCTTTCTGGCAAACAGCAGGTAGCTAAAGAAAACCAGCAGGTGAGGGCCAAGGCATGTGGGATGCCCTAGAGGGGGAGGGGTAGTGCCAGGGATCTGGATAAGCATCCTGATTCCGATTCCTTTAGGTAGCAAAGAATGTCATGCTGCATCAGGCCTTACTGCGGCTGCCCCAGTACCAGACTGATCTCTTGCTCACCTTCAATCAACCCCCGTAAGGAAGAAGGGTGGGAATTTCACAATTGGGTCCCCAGGAAAAATTAGGCTGGGTGGGCCACATAGAAAAATTGGCTGGTGGGCTCCTTCAAGGAGGCAGAGTTGGATCACAGGCTTGGGGTCTCAGATTCCTGGTTCTCTGGGGAACAGGAAGTGGGATCTTCCAAACCTTAGGCCTAGACCATGTTCTTTCTCCCTCTGTTCCCCTACCCTAAGCTCTGACAACAGGTCTCTTGGCCCTGAAAATCTGTCATGTCCACCCTGGAGCTTGGGTAACTTTGAACAGCTGGTGACCAGTTTGACCCTTCATGATCCCAACATCTTTGGTCCCCAGTAAAGATGCTGAAGCCCATCATGCTGCTGCAGAGGACTTAGGGGCCCAGTTCTGAGAGGGGGAGATGGAATTTGAATACCTGAGTTTCCTTCTACTTTCCTGGACGTCAACATAAGACATTCCTCTGCAGAAATAAACTTGCTTTATAACCAACATAATTTCTGTGGCTTTGACTCTAAGAGGACACCTGGGTCTCCCCAATTTCCTTTGGTTTTAGAAGGGGGAATTTAAAGCTGTGCCCAGGAGCAGGAGGGACCCAAGACTGGCAGTGAAAATGCACTTTGGAGTGACTGATTCAACCCTGAGACGGGTGTGAAGTGGACAGAGGGATGTGTGGGAAGATTTAAAGCAACATCCAAGGAAAGGACAGAAACTACTGCTCAGAGTGATTCAACCCTGAGAGAACAGATTGGGAGTGTGCTTGGCTTTCCCCCTCAGATGGTTGAAAAATCACATGGTCAGTAGTCACCAAGACAGGAGGAGAGGCAGAAGTGTCCAAGGAGCATTGATTTGGAGTATAGGAAAGTGACTGTTATTTAGTGTATGAGTGGTAGAAGAAGCGCAGCTGATCCCAGAAGAAGAGGGAGAGGATGGTATGGGGGCCAAGGCGAAAATAGGAGGCACCTATACCCTTGTACATGCCCAAAATGCCCTCTGTCCGAGCTGTCTGCAGCAGAGCATCCAGGATCCCCCGGTACATGAGGCCCTGGAGCATATTGGAGAGGGAGGGAGAGCACAGGGAAGGAGCTTGTCAGAGTCCACCAGTCTCACCTCTGCAGGTGGCTTTTGACCCACATGCACCCACAGTCTGCTCCCCCACCTCCAGCTTTTCCTGTCAGCCTGCACCCCAGAGTACTCCCTTACCTTGCCCTGAGTATCTGTGGGTTGGTTATAGAGCCTTGTACTGGCTACATCAAAGGGTGTCATGGCCAGGACTACTGCGATGCCACTCACCATGGCAGCTGCCAGAGCCACTTTCCAGCTCTGGGGAGGAAAGATCTATAGGGGAGAAGAAGAACTTTATTAACTAAGCAGTCATCCAATCCAAGGGTAGGAAAGACCATGCCCTGGGGACACAGCTGCTAACTCAGGGAGGTTCCACTTCACCAGTGATTACACAGTGTGATAACACTGCAGGAGGAAGGCCAGAGTACCCAGAGGGCTCAGGTACCCCTTCTGGGAAGAAGTGATGAGAATTTTAAGGACTCAATGACCACCCCCCAAGCCCTCCTGTTGCTCCCTCACTTTTGAACCTTGGCACCATCCCCTGCAGGGCCCACCTCCCTTTGCGTGCTCTCTGCCCCATTCTAGGGTTGGCCCCACCCCTTCCCCGGGCAGTACCTCCCACTGGCTCAAGAGGTCCTTGGTAGATGAGAAGGTGCACAGCTGGGTAGAAGAACCGACGAGAACTCTGGGAAGGCCGCCCACGGCCCCACGCCACAACCCCACCAGACCATGTTTCTGGCCAATCTCTGTTAGTGCCTGAAACATGCCCTGGTGGGGGGAAGACGGTAGGGGTGGGTTTCAGTCACCTCAGTAGGATCAGGTTTTTTTTTTTTTTTTTGGTCTTTTTGAGACAGGGTCTCCCTGTAGCCCCAGCTGTCCTGGAACTCACTATGTAGTCCAGGCTGGCCTTGAATTTACAGAGATCCGCCTGCCTTTGCCTCCCAAATGCTGGGAATAAAGGCGTGCGCCACCACGCCTGGCTTAAGGATTAGTTCTTAACATGCAACTGTTGTCTGGACAACTAGTTCAATGTAGGCTTAGAGCCAGACTAGGCACCCTCAGGTGTCTACCACCACTTGCCACCCCAGATACAGGCTGGAGGTATGGAAGTGAAGACATTAGCAGGTCAAGAGAATGGGGCAGGAGAAACAGGTGAAGATTTGAGGAACAAATAAAGGTACATGAGAATCAGGGTGAGCTCCAGGGGCAGACATTGATGGGGTAGACAGAAGAGTGATCAGGGTGGGAGCTGCCAGGTACAGACAGAAAGCTAGGAGGAAGTGGGAGCGAATGGTCTGGCACTCCAGTGATTTGGGGACCCCTCACCTGATGCTTATACTGGTGCCCTACAGCAATTTCAGAGGCTGCCTGTGCCTGTAGGTGTGTCTTCACCTGGGGACAAGAGAGTATTTCAGCCTGTGCCCCAGGGGCTGTCCTCCCACTTTAGAGACCCAAGCATTTGAGCCCCTCACACTTCCTCTAGGGTATTAAGCAATGAATGTCCTTCTAATCTGATAATTATTGTTGTTCCTACTTAACAAATTGGTCCTGAGACTCTGTGTCCCTTGGCTTCAGTCCCAGGGGAAAGATCTCCTAGCACTACCAGATATCCCACCCCCTCCACATCCTCCTTCCCTTGGGGCTGGGGTTGGGGAATGGAGGTTGGAGAGTGGCAATATTTCCTAAGACTAGATGTTAAGTAAGACCTGAATGCCAGTTCCCATTCCTGATCGGATCTCCAGCTGCCACCCCCACCAGACTCCCTGTCAGACTGGCCAAAATGTGCTCTTTGGCTCCCAGAACACACAGGAGTATTGTATTCAGCTGACTTTGATATGGCCTCTGTCCCTAAATCTCACATCCTAGGAGATAGACCAGGTTGACTTCCTTCTCTCTCACATGGCCTAGTACCAGCAATAAGCAGCTGTGTGACCTTGAACAGGTCACTTTCCCTCTCTGGGCCTCAGGCTCCCAGCCTTTTACCTACATCTGTTAACTCAAAGGAATAAACTATGAAACTATAATTCTGTGATGCCCAGGACCTTCCTAAACCTACACTCAATGATGTATGTTACTAAAATTCTTCATCCTCATGTACACAAAGCCAAGTTCAACATTAGATAATAACCATAAAACAATAAAAGCTACATTTCCACTGGGCATGGTGGCACATGTTTGTATTCTCAGCACTTGGGGGCAGAGCAAGGAGGATCAAGAGTTTGAGGACAGCTTGGGCTACAGAGAGAGTTCCAGATAAGCCTGACCATATAGTCAGGCCTGTCTCAAAAACCAAAATCAAACAAAACAATCAGCGATACTGTCAAAATGCTTACCCTGTACTGGGAGCTGTACTGGTGCTTCACCCTGCATCATATTATTTTTCACTATAATCCCCCCAATAACAGCACAAAAAGCCTACTACAGTTATTCCTGTTTTATAGATGTGGCAACTGAAGCTCAACAATGAATATTATTTCAGAGCCAGAATTTGAGTTCTAGAAAGTGATTCAAAGCTCATTTGTAGCCAAATGTGGCAATGCACATCTGTAATCAAACACTGGGGAGACTGAAGTTGGGCTGTGAGTTTGAAGCCTACCTGGGCTACAGAGGGACTTTGACACCACTGTATGTGGAGATCTTTCCTCAACAAACAACACCTTCCAAGCCCCCAAAAGTCCATAATCCTCATCAACACATTGCAGGGAGTCTGTTGGGTGGGTGTGTATAGGGCAGATTGGAAGGCCCTGAGCCTACCAGCATTTTCTTGTGCCCTTCCTTGCATGCAGGGGGACAGCACCTTGCCACCAATGTCCTTGTAAGGACAAACTCCCACCCTACACCAAGGGCCTGCCCTGAAGTCCCCAGGCAAGACCTCGGCTCCTTACCATGTAGATGGGGCTCCCCAGATAGGCTCCCATGACTCCAGCCAGGGCCCCAGCTGCAGCACTCCGGACTGGGCTGATGGTGCCTTCAGCCGTGCGCAGGTATCCCTTAGCCTCTGCCAGCCCGTAGGTGCCCAGTCTGATGCCATTCATAAGGAACTGGTACAAGAGTGCAGGGGCCAGGCCCTTCTGCAGGGCAGCCAGGCCATCTACCTTGCCGATGATGAAGAAGGCGTGGAAGACGTTTCGGTAGTGGCGCTGGTAGGTGCCCGGGGCTTTCAGTTCACCCTGCAGTTGCATTCTGATCTTCACAACCTCCAGGGGATTGGTGAACACACAGGCTCCGCAGGCTGCCAGACCACTCATCAAGAAGTCCATGGTAGGGGTAAGCAGTGGCCACAGACAGCAGAGATGGATATCAGGGCAACATCTGGCTTTTGCAGTCCAGGCTGCAAGAAGTAGAAATTAAGAGGTCTTGAGTTAAGTGTCAAATGTCAAAAAATGAAGTAAGGTTAGTGGGAACTTGGCGGGGGAGGTGTCAGAGCGTGGCAAAGAGGGAAGAAAGAGGCGTGTAGGAGAGTCTGGTGAGAAGGCCCCGTTTCCCAAGGGATTTGGAATCAAGGCGGGGCAGAAGTCAGAAGCTGGCTTGTGGGATGCCCCGGTTGACAAGCGAGAGGGACCAGGGGAGTAGCAAAGGGAAAATGCAGAGTTGGGAAATGGTAGCGGGAGAGGCAGGAAAAACGAAAACAGCAAAGAGGAAAAGGATCCGAGAGAAGACCCGGGGTGTCCCCGGGACAGCAACGACAGGTGGATCGCGAAGGAAATGGGGATTCCAACTCGAGATGAGCGTCCCAAGGTAGCTACGGGAGCTGGAGCACCTTCACCAGAGTAGCCTGCGGAGGCCGGGCCGCCACACTCCAGTCCCAGGAACCCAGCGCCAATAAGGACTCTGCTAGAGCTGCAGCCGAGCGCCTCTGCCAATCAGCGTAGAGCCGGCTCCGCGGCCAATGGGAGGCGCTCTCCGCGGTCCGGCCCTCGGCCTCTGCTGCCCGGGTCGGGTTAACTCTCCCTGCTCCGGCGCCAGAGCCCGGAGCCCCCTCCTGCTCCGGAAGGGTGCCCGAGGCAAAGAGGATTTGTCACCGGTTGGGAGCCGGGGTGGGGGTGTGTGGACCGTGGGTTACTAGGCGGATGCTGAGGCTGAGCGCAGAGGGTTGGGCAGCTTCTCTCGCAGGTTGTGGTTCCCGGCCGTCTCCCTCTAGCCTAGGGTCACCTCAGTTTAGGGTTGCCTGACCGCAGCCACGCCCAGCTGTTCGAGTGGGGGGGCGGGCAGGGGAGCGGAGTGAGGTGACGGGGGGGGGGGGATAGCCCGGAAGCTGCGTTCGGGCCCGCCGGGGAGATGGGAACCGCCTGCTGGACCGCACCCAGCTCCTAAGGCGGAATAGTGTTTGTAGGTTCTAGCGCCAGGGTGTGGCTGGCTGTAGGCGCCGTGGAAGAGGCCTGAAGGAGAGCCAGGGAACCGAGCTTGATCTTATTAAGTAAGCTCTTGATCATCACAGCGACCTAGAGAAGGCCGGACAGGCCTAGGCAAGGATTTCATTCCCCTCTCCCCTCGAGGCTTAGGTTACAGAAAGCAAGTAACGGGTTGGAGAGCCTGATTTTCTTGTCTGTAGTTCTTGCTTCATGTGTCTGGTTAATCACAAATGAACTTTCAAGGAAAGGCACTGACTTGGAAAGAACCCTGAGAGAAGGCTTGGAGAAAGAAGGCAGGGGTCGGGGGGTGGGAGGATGGGCCGCGGGGAATAGCTTCTGGGCGGCAGGAAGAGGCCGAGGGAAGGCTTACTTGATTGACAGCTACCCAACTTAGCACAGAGTTTCAGTTTGGATCTTCCTGCCTACCATCTGGATGTTGACGAGCAAGTTACTTAAGCTCTCAGAGGCCCCCTTCCTTTGCAAAATGAGAAAGGGACTATCTGTTGGACATAATGCCAAAGGAAGTGTTGGGCTTGTATTACATGCTCAGTAATCGGCTTTGCTGGAAAGTCAGGAGCTGATTTGCTGGAAAGTCAGGAGCTGACAGACCTGTTCTCACTTCCTGGAGTCCCCAGTCGCCTTTCTTTGGTTATCTCCAGGACATGCTGCACCTAGATCATCTGACATATAAGGCTTTTCCAAAATTTACACATTCAGCCTCTGCCATTCAATTCTGCTCCTCAAACATAAACCTACTGTCCTCATTTTGGTTAGCAGTTGTTAATTTTTGGTCCTCTCTAGGCTAGGAGTTCCTAGATGCTCTGGGGCCCACAGCTCAGTCATTTCTTTTGTTGTTTTGTTTTTGTTTGTGTGACAGGATCTTGCTATGTGTCATCTAGGCTGGCTGAGGACTGAAGAGATCAGGCTTGTTACCACACCTAGCCTTAGAGTGACACTGCACCTAGTTTCAGATCTTGAGTTTAAAGCTACTGTGGTTCCCCGGGCAGCAGCAGCCACAGCATTACCCCAGAACTTAGAAATGTGCTCTCTAGCCTCACTCTAAACCAGATGCTCTGCAGATGGAACCTGGATCATCTGTCTTTCATCAAATCCTTCTGAATCTAAAGGTTCAGAGCTGCAGGCTTAAGCTTGCAGCCTTTAAAAGCAGATGCCCTGGAGAGCAACAGCTTTTAAGGTGTTTTTTTTTTTGGGGGGGGGGGTCTCCCAGCTGTCCTGGAACTCACTATGTAGACCAGGCTGGCCTTGAACTCACAGAGATTAAAGGTGTGTGCCACCACGCCTGGCTAAGGTGTTTTTTTTTTTTTTTTAAAGTAAACTTAATTTCTTTCAGAACACTGTACAGGCTCAGTGTGGTTGGCACACGCCTTTAGTCCCAGCACTTGGGAAGCAGAGGCAAGTGGATCACTGTGAGTTAGAGGCCAGCCAGGTCAACAATAGCTAGTTCCAGGCCAGCTGGGGCTACAGAGACACCCTGTCTCAAAAAGACCAAAAAAAAAAAAAAAAAAATTGTACGGAAAATCTATAAAGATAATAAATTTTCTAATGTGCCTTCCATGCAGTTTTCCCTAATATTACTAACTTTCATTAATATGCTATATTGCTATGAATGATGAAAAAATATTGATTCATTATTTCTGACGGAAGTCCATACTTTATTCAGGTTTCTTTTGTTTTTGTTGAGACTCCCTTTTCTGATCCAGGATCACATCTAGAATACTTAATTACATTTAATTGTCATAGCTCCTCTTCTTAACTATGACAGTTTCTCAAACTTTCCTTGTACATACTGTCAGCAGGGCTTAACCATGTTGATATTGACCGTGATCACATGACTCAGGCAGTATTTCTCAATTTTTTCCCACTATAGAGGTATCCCTTTTTTCCCGTTTATTCCTGTTTCTAAAGACAATTTACACTACTAAAGGGTTAGGCTGGGTGTGGTGGCACATGCCTTTAATCCCGGTGCTCAGTAGGCAGAGGCAGGCAGATCTCTACATAAGGACTTCCAAGCCTGCTGGGAGACCATCTCAAAAAACCACAAACAACCAAACACCCAAAACAGCTGGGTGTGGTGATGCATGCCTTTAAAGGATTAATCCCAGCAATCCCAGAGGCAGAGAAGCCAGCCTAGTTCACATAAGGGAGTTCCAGGCCACCCTGGAGCTACAGGGAGACCCAGTCTCAAAAAAGACCAAAACAAACAAAAAACCCAAAACAGATAAAGAATTTAGGTTTTTTAAATATATTTTTTTATTATTATTTTTATTTTATGTGTATGAGTGTTATGCCTGCATGTAGGTAAATGCACCTGTGTTGTGCAATGCCTGAGGAAGTCAGAAGAGAGTGTCCCTGGAGATGGACTTATGGGCAGTTGTTAGCTGCCATGTGGGTACTGGGATTCGAATCTGGGTCTTCTGCAAGAACGGTCAGTCTTCTCAACTGGAGCCATCTCTCCAGCCCCAGAATTTGGTGGGGTTTTTTTTGTTTTTTGTTTTTTTTGTCTTTTTGAGACAGGGTCTCCCCATAGTCCCAGCTGACCTGAACTCACTATGTAGACTAGGCTGGCCTTGAACCTACAGAGATCTGCCTGCCTCTGCCTCCTGAGTGCTGGGACTAAAGGCGTGCGCTACCACACCCGGCAGAATTTGGGTTTCTTTAAAAAAATATTTTATGCTGGGCATGGTGGTGGTACATGCCTTTCATCCCAGCTCTCGGGAGGCAGAGGCAGGCAGATCTTTGTGAGTTTGAGGCCAGCCTGGTCTCCATAGTGAATCCAGGCCAGCTGTGGCTACAGCGAGACTCTGTCTCAAAAAGACAAAAAAATTTTTTTATTTATTATTTTTACTTTATGTGTATGAGTATATTGCCTCCATGTGTATAAGTGCATCCATGTCTGTCAGTACCCACGGAGTCAGAAGAGGACATTGGATTTCCTTGGAACTGGAGTTATAGATGGTTGTTAGCCTCCATGTGGGTACTGAGAATTGAACCCGGGTCCTCTGCAAGAGCAGTCAGTGCTCTTAACCACTGAGTCATCTCTCCAGCCCCAAGAATGTTTTAAAATTATTTTATGTGTATGAATGTTCTGCATGCATGTATGTATGTGCACCTGTGTCATGCAAAGCCTTCAGGGGTCAGAAGAGGGTGTTGGATCCCCTGGAACCAGAGTTACAGATGCCTGTTAGCTGCCATGTGGGTGCTGGGAATTGAACCCAAGTCCTCTGGAAGAACAGCAAACATTCCTCACCACAGAGCCATTTGTCTTTAAATACACACACAAAAAAAACAAAAAATAAATTCAACATTCAATGATGGGGGCTTTTTGTTTCGTTTAAATCCTGGAGACATGCTAGGCAAGCACTGTACACCCTCAGCCTCTAATTCCAGAATTTCTAATTCCAGAATTAGGCAGCATGAGGGTCATGAACCAGCAACCTAAACCTTGTACAAATCCTTGTGTGAACAAGGATTTGCTTTTTCTTTGGAAAGGGACTCAGTCACCTCCAGGGGGCATCGCTGATTCATCCTGGAAGACAGAGCAGAAAGACACAGGAAGAGAAAGGCATGTCCCCATCCCAAATTGTAACAGTTCCTGGATTACAAAAATCCTCTAGCCAGTAGAAGAGGGGAGGGAAAAAAAGCAACTACCACCTTTACCACCACTTGTAGGGTAGACATGCCATGCTACACTGTGCTTAGCTTTGTAAGAAAGTACCAAATGGACATGGTAGGCATGCCTGTAATCTCAGCACTTGGGAAGCTGAGGTAGGAGAATTCCCACTTTAAAGACAGTCTGGGATACACAGTGAGACTCTGTCTCCAGAAAGCAATGCTAGAATTCCTGCTTAGCATGTGCAAGGTCCCTGGGTTTGATCCCTAACATTACAAAGGAAAAAAAAAAAGAAGCTTATCACCAGATGTGGGCTTTCCACCTTAGATCATGTATTATTACTTTTCTCCTTGCTATAACCACATACCTTACAAGAAGCAACTTCAGGGAGGGAAGGTTTATTTTGGCTCCTGGCTCAGGGACAGAGTCTATCATGACAGGGAAGGATGGTTCCATTGTATCTAGTCAGGAAGCAGAGAGGGATGAATGCTGGTGCTCAGCTGGCCTGCTTCTTTTTAAAATTCAGTCCAGCCCTAGCCATGGGATGATGCCTTCCACAATCAAGGTGAGTCTTCCCTTCTCAATCAAATCTCCCTAAAAACATCCTACAGATATAACTAGAGGTATGTTTCCTAGGTGATTCCAAATCCAGTTGGCAATGAATATTAACTATCATAAGCCCAGCCCTCATTAACTTGACACCCAAACACATCACACATCACTTCTTTATTTTGGTCTTTTTGAGACAGTGTCTCCTTATAGCCCCAACTGGCCTGGAGCTTGCTTTGTAGACCAGGCTGGACTTGAACTCACAAAGATCTGCCTGCTTCTGCCTCCCGAATGCTGGGATTAAAGATGTACACTGCTACGCCCGGCTTCACATCACTTTTTTTAAAGATTTTTTTTTGAGGGGGGTTATTATTATTTTTTACTTTATATGTATGGGTATATTGCCTGCATGTATGTAAATGCACCTGTGTCATGCAGTGCCCTCAGAGGTCAGAAGAGGGCATCATATCCCCTGGAACTGGAGTTATGGACAATTGTTAGCCACCCTATGGATGCTGGGAACTGAGCAGCAGAGTGTGCTTAACTGCTGAGCTATCTCTCTAACCCCAAACACACTTTTAAACATT